GTCTCATGTCAGTGTACACTCTTCATTTTGACCTCTCAGGTGAACAAAAAAAAAAAGGGGGGGGCAGTTGACGGATTGGAAGGCCTCTTGGTTTCCAGTCACGCTTTCTGATTGAGATGGAAGATTGATGTAGGGTGTAGGAGTTTTTATGGCCTCTCGTGGTTGAAATATGATCAGAGCCGAGCCGATGGAGTGAATTATTTCAGCATATTGACAACCACCGTTAAGATTCCATCCATATAATTCCATCAAATGATAGTAATTTGATTCGGTCAAGGTGAGTCAGTGTGGAGAGTTTTGTCCCCTCGTCTTCTGCCTGTATCTCATTGTAGCTGCTCTTTTTGATGCTTCCAAAAAATAGTGTAGTCGTAAAGTACATGTATATCAACATAAAAACAGGCATTTACTTGAAGGATGAACAGATGTTCCTGCCACAGCTCAGCAATCTCTAAATGTATCCTTCATGGATATTCAACCATCAAACCATCACATGAGTGGGTAAGAAAATCTCTGTTTGGGCTTGGCATGACGGTATCCATAGCTGTGGGTCTTGGAGTGGTTTGTCCTTTGGTTACAGACAGATGGCACAATGCTGTCGTGCTTTTGTGTTTGAACTGATCTGGGCTAGCTGGGAGCTATTTTAAAGGATGAGTAAGGGGAAGGAAATGCTTTGCAGGGCAGTTATGTGCTGATTTGTCTCACAAGAATAAAAAAAAAAAATGTGCGAGATGTATGACTGTACTGCAGGGGTGTGATGGTTTCAAACTCATTTTTGTAGCAGGCCGCACTGTGGTTATAGTTTTGATGGATGTCCTAAGATGGATGTGAAAGTAAATTGTATACATGTATAATGTCATCATACACAACAAATGGAAAGCCAACTAGTTTTGAAATGAGAAGTCAATGGAAATATGGGCTAAGGCAACAGAGAACAGATTCTCATTTGCAATGCCGACCCGGCTAAAGACAGCAAGAGTTAAATAAAGACGTTTACTGTTTGGCATTTGCGAAATCTCGTACTCGTGGATTTTTCGAGGAGATCATACTTGCTGAAAGACATCTGTTTGATATGTTTGTTCTGAGGCCAAAGCCATGTCTTGAGTCAAAAAATATTGCTTTTATGCCATGTTGCTGAATCATAGTGCCAAGTAACTCGATTGACCTGAGGGGAAGCGCTTCAAATAGCCATGCCATAGCCTTGTCCAATTACAAAGAGTGTTTTGCCGCCATCTTGTGGCATTTGTCAGCAATTACATTTTTTTGTGTTTGGATGGCAGTTAACAGCAGATTTTTGCTATTTATGGCAGGTTGAATAACAGACGTTCACATTAACTCTATCATCACCTCATTATAATATTGTGCACACACAGCAAATTGATTTCATAACTATTTTTAAATTAGAAGTCAACCAAAATAGTTTGTTCAACTATTGTAAATGGTTTTAACAACAAAAAAATGTTTGCAATAGCTCAAAGTTTTGCACCATTTCGCGAGAAAATTGATGTCAGCACACTTGATTTGGTCTAATGGACTGAACTGTTTCACAGTGTGTGTGATTATGCACCTCACCTACTAACTACAGTTAGTTTGAACAGTCTTACAACATGGACCAGCCAATCCAAAAACGCCATGTCATATCACATGGTCTTTCACATCCAAAATGACCTTTAATGTATGCTGTACCAATACAGTATATAAAGTATATACAGTATTGTTTTACAATAATCCTAAAATATATTTATAATTTCATATGTAGCTATGATTGAAAAGTGAAGCGTGAATTGTCAATGCCATTAGAATGCAAAAGTGCTGTCAATGGTGCTGTCATTGCCAATAGCTGGAAAAATGCCAATTAAATGCCCATTAAGATGCAATTTGTAAGTCTATGTGCGTTTATAAGGTCTATATATTATTATTATTATTATAAAATTGATGACAAATTCAAGAGATGATTCATATCAAAAGAGCCCAGAACAACGACCACAGAAATAAAAGGTGAAAACAAAGGTCAAGATGCATCAGTGTCAGATCGAACCATTTTAAAAAAAATTAAATTTTTTTTAGCCAAAGTGGACTCATGGGCGACCAAGGAGGGGGGGCATCACTTTTCAAACTATTCCATCCACCTATTTCAAAACAAAATCATAAAAATAGAAAATCATCACACTGCATGTTGACAAGCCATAAATCTTCTGGGAGAATGTCCCATGCACAGATGAACCAAAATTGGAACTTTTTGGCAAGGCACATCAGCTTTATATTCACAGATGCAAAAATGAAATATAGCAAGAAAACAACAGTGTCCCTACTGTGAAACATGGGTGCAGCTCTATTCTGCTCTGCGGCTGCTTTTGTTGTGATTGTGACTGGGTTTGGGTCTTTGGGTATTTGATTTTGTTCGTTGATTTTGGTCCTTTATTTGGTGGCACATGGTTGGGCGCGGACTGGTGTTTTACTGTATTTAAGCTTGAGTTACTTAGTTCCATGTTCTCAGAATGTTTAGCCTGCCGTGCCTTGCTATGCCCAGCCCTGCTCTCTTTTTTTTACTTTGCATAGAAAGACTTTTACTTCACCATTTTCGTCTCCTGTCTGCTTGTGAGTCCAAATCCTGCTCTTAGTGTGACAGTTTTGTTGCATCTTGAAACTGCAGGGTGCAATGAAATCTCAAGACTCTCAAGGTATTCCAGAGGGAAATGTACGAACCATCGTCGGAAAGCCTGGCCTGAGTTGCAGGTCTTGCAAGGCCAAAACACAGTGAAAACCACCCAAGAACTGCTCAAGGCAAAAAATTGGACTCTTCTGAAGTGGCATTCTATAAGCCCTGATCAAAATCCTATTAAACATATGTTCAACGGGCTGAAAGATGCCGTTTGAAGAAAAACCCATCAAAGCGGAGACAACTGGAGCAGTTTGCTTATGAAGAGTGGGCCAAAACACCTGGTGATGAGGAAAGTTACAAAAATCGTGTGGTTGCAGAGTTTGCCTCAAAAGCATATGCAACAAAATATTCAGTTGAGGAGACCACCATTTTTGTCAGGCCTGTTTTATGAGGTTAACATTTTTCATTTATTATTATTCATTCTTTTACTCCAATTATTTTTTTTTCGTTCATTGCATTTCGTTTTCATTCACTGAACCATGGACTGTATTCCCTGCTACGTAATCATTCTATAGGGCTTTTTCTATAGTGGGCTATATAGTGGCGTATTCACTCACCAGTGGAACAAAATTGAGTTTGGAACGCTTCTCGGGCATGGTTAATTGCATCATTTATGTCACATAATTATAACGTGCCAGATCAAAGTCAGCTGTTGGAATTTCTGTAATATATACTGAGCACATAAATACATTAGAGTGACATTCTATTGTTTTCAGCTACGTGCATTTTACAAGATGATTCCAAACAAAGCACTTTATGTCCGTCTGTGTTGTGATGTGTTGCTGTTTTCACTCCCCAACTCATGAGTTCATCTTGTGCCCAAAATCAAACAATACCCCGGAAATGGAAGCGGCAAATCTTTTTTTATGTATCATGGGATGTATTTTAATTTTTAGTCACTTTCAGTGTCGACTACCTTGAGGGGAGTGCACGACTGTGTATGGGAAAGAACCAATACATACGGCCGTGGATACTAAATGGGGAGTGTTTTTGAACACGGCCCATGTTTTTACAGTGGCTTACTGTAAATGTCGAACCTCATTGGTATTTAAAACCGCAATGCTTTCTCCAACCCAAAAGAAAATGCCAAATAACTCAAACTAAAACTAATTAAAAACATGAGGCATTAACATGGAATGCATGCACAAATGTTTTCTGTATTCTTCAATGTTGGATTTTTATTTTTTAATCCCTTAATGAAGACAGTTTCTTGTGATAACAGTTGACCAGGATTGAAATCTGATTATGTTGCTCCCGTAACCTTTCGATAACAGTGGCCCTCCTGTGTGCAGTCGTACCCCATGACTCCGTCCAGTCCGAGCAGCAGCAGCAACAGCAGCAGCACGGGCTTGGAGCAGCTCAGCAAGACCAACCTGTACATCCGAGGCCTCCCTCCTGCCACCACCGACTTGGACCTGGTCAAACTCTGTCACCAGTGAGTGCGAGAATGTATACATGTACTGTCATCCAAGTGTGTGTGTGTGTGTGTGTGTGTGTGTGTGTGTGTGTGTGTGTGTGTGTGTGTGTGTGTGTGTGTGTGTGTGTTTGTGTGTGTTGCTTTTTTGTGTGGGAGTTGCCTTGGCACTGCTAATACAGATGCCGCAAACCTGACAGAATGACTGCAAGGTCAAAAGGAAGTAGAAAAAGCCCCGCAGAACGACGGCGATGGTCTCCATTGAATAAACAAAATGTAATCAACGCAACATTATTAACGAGAATCCATCTCCAACTTGAATTTTCTGCTCTTATTGGCCTTTATGAGCTTTGTAGTCAAGGCATTATTTTTACCTTCGTAAACACATTCTCGTACCCATTAATCTTCGTTTGCGTCCTTAACTTGATTCAACATATGCGGTCCGTGTGCTAGTTGTTGCGCTGCACCTGCTTGCTTTTTGTGGACAAACTCCCTCCAGTCTATATTACCGCTGCTCTTTATAGCAATATCTGGACCACTCTGTTAAATAGCCATTACATTTGCAGTTTAGCAGTTTATTGTAGTCAGGCTTCCTGAATCTCGCTAGGCTTTTTTTTCTCTAAAGGAGACAATTACGTCTCATGGGCTCCCTTATTTTCTTTAATACTGCAGAGGTCTCACAGTGTAGTCCCCTAACTCTGCCTACTCCATCTGTCCAACCCATCTGGCCCATTGGGTGTGTGTTGTTGTGTGTGTGTTTATTGTGTTTTTTTTTTTTTTTTTTTTTTGCTGTAATCAAGTGTTGCTAAGTTTTCTCGCGGTTGGTTTACCACAGACGCCAGAACGTTCCATCTCGGACTGTCATAGTCTGATGGGGACCTCCACATTTCTCACGTTGTGTGAAGGCTTTCGACAGATGAAATGTGGACACCAGGCAGCTCCGGAGCATGGTTGTGGCCCTGGCATACTTGAATGAAGCTCGCCTGCCAGCATCAGCGTAGGGGGCCGCATACTACCATTCAACAAACATGTGATCATATACATTTTCTTGTTCCAAAACATGCAAAAGGAGCCCATTATTTACATACACACTGCACAGTGTTCACACTTACGTTTTACTTGAACAGCGTGACTGCCACAGCAGATTTTTTCCCAGTTTAGAAATTTCACCGGGCGTCCACGGTAAATGATGGCCTGTCAATTAACTCATCTCGCCCCCGCGTTTTCTTAGAAATTAACTAAATATTAAGATCCCAAGTAACACATTGTCTACAGGATCCGAGATCCAATAGACCACTATCCATGTGGGGATTTAGTGTGGTTTATGCCATAATTAGCCGAGTTTTGTCTCCTCTTTTTCCCCACAAGCATATGGAGTGAGGCATTCATCCATGTAACCAGTAGCAGCTGTTTGTGTCCTTTTCGCTTGTTTTGTTCATGCTCCTGATGTTGCTCGCCAGCAAAAAGCAGAAATGAAAGCGCTTTTTCGTAGCAACAAGGTTTGAATGGTGATTTCAGCTCGTCATTCAGTCTGTTTGTGCACACGTGTGAACAAGCGGCACGCAATTTGTTTCACATTTCAGGGTGAGGGTCGTGATCAAGCCTGAATGATGTACTGTATTGTTGTTACCTCTGCTTTATTTCTCGCTAATTAGTGCTCAATTGGTTTACTGTGTTGGAAATAAAAGGTTGGGTCTTTGAAAATTACTTCTACAAACTGATACAAAGGTGTACACAAGCAAACGAGGAGTTGATCATGGCTGTTTGTTTACTCCATCATCTGCATGGTGTTTGTGCAGGTATGGCAAGATTCAGTCAGCAAAGGCGATCCTGGACAAGACAACTAATAAATGTAAAGGTCAGTCAAAGATCATTACCTTACCATTAACTTCTTAAGCGGTTGACTTGTACTTTGGTAGCGACACTCATTTTTTACGTCTCACGTGTGATGTTTTTGTGCTCAGGCTAAACGTATGTCTAGTATAAAAGTATTGTTTTGGTCCCATCTTGATGCCAAGGAGCTATGGTAAAGTGTGTTGAAGAGAATGTCTTGCTTTGCCACCATATTGTGCCATTTATGGAGAATTATACACCTTTTGGATGTCAATCACTTGCAGACTTTTGCTATTTGCGGCAGCCGTCTTTCCTCCATGAACTGCGCTGAATAGTATTCATTGTTGGAGCTCTGTCACACTGCATCAATTACACAATTCTGTTCCATGTCATCTTATTACACACTTTGTATTGCCAGTGACTCTGTGCTTTGTACATTTGTGTATCTGTCCTGAATGTACATTTTGTTATGCTATCTTTTTGTGTACTGAAGTGATTTCTGCCTGAGGCAAACTCCGTCGTTATTTGTAACGTACAGTGATACCTTGTCTTATGACTGACACGACCTGCGAGTTTTTCGGGGTTAAAAATTATCACGGGTTAAAAATTCAAGTTACAAGCGCTCAATGGTGGAAGTGGAGTTCACAAAAAGCAGCAGGTAGTGACCAATTCTCCGAAACACATGCCAAGATGCGAACACAAAACAAAGACAATTACCGGTATATCTTCTATCTCCATCCAAACCATAGCTTCCGACTCAAAGCTAACGCACAATGCAAAACGCCATAGGTGGGCTAACAAAACCAAAACCGATAATGCGGTACTTAAACCCTTCAATCAAAGGATATTTGAATGCAAACTGTGCAGCACCACATGTAGAGAGACAATACAGCAATTATGGCCCAACCATTTTTTTTTCCCCCGACTGATTCCGGGAGTTGGGTAACTGATTAATTGTCAAATAAAATACAAAAATTATATCTAATGTTTTTTTGTTGGTCCCTTGACGATAACAAAAAAATGTTTGTTAGAATGTCGGAGGTTGTAATGTGGGATATAAATCAAAAATGAAATTGCTTGTTTTCTCCCCCTTAAAGTCACAAATCAACTGACTAAATCAAGAGGCCCAGTAATCATTCGGGCCCCAATATTCACAGTATGTGTTCTTTAAACTTTGCTGTTATAAACAGCTGTTAGTGCTGTGCACAGAGTCACAAATTTGTGAAACTCCAGCCATCCGTCCATCCAATTTGAGTGTCGCTTATGCTTGTTCGAGGCGCATGTATTCCGAATACTATCCCAGCTAACTTTGGGCTTTGAACCGGTCGCCAGGCAGCCGCAGGGCACAAGGAGGCTGACAACCATTCAGACTGACATTCATACCTACGGACAATTTAGAGTGTTGCAAACGCCACACAAGAAACTCATCTTCGTTTATTATGCCTGTCTCGAATATACAGCCCTTGTTGGCAAAGGCACGCATATCAGAAAGAGCGCAATGGGCATTGAATCACGACATCATCTGTTCGAACTGTTTTGAAATGTGTTCTGAGTTAGTCATAAGTCAAGGCGCCACTATAATTGGCCAATAAAGACAATTAGGATTCTGGTCACCATTTATTGGCTGTTCATGTAAACACAGTACTGCTCTGCCAACTACAGGTTATGGCTTTGTGGACTTTGACAGCCCAGCGGCTGCTTTGAAGGCCGTGCACGCTTTGAAAACCAGCGGCATTCAAGCCCAGATGGCCAAGGTGAGGAGTGTGTGTGTGTGTGTGTGTGTGTGTGCGTGTGCGTGTGCGTGTGTGTGTGTGTGTGTGTGTGTGTGTTGCATCCATTGCCACAAAGTTGTCCGTACTTCCTCTCTGAATATGTGTGGCGTGCACCACTGAATGACATGAGACTGGTCACATGACCTCAGCTGACAAGCTGTTCTTCCCGTGACCTCATTTACTTTCGCTGTATAACCAGATGTCATGTCTCCGTCTGCCAAGTAACCTGTCAGTTATGTCGCATACCAGACCACCAGCTTGCACACTGACACACACCAGGCTTGTGCTGCAGCTTCACAATGTCACACTAACTCATTAATGTTGGAATACAAGTGTAATATTCATTTGAAATCCATTCAATCTCCCTGAGTGTTTTTAATTTCTCCCCTTTACGGTTATTTATTTTTTAATCTTGTCAGTATAATTTAATCACCAGTAACTAAACCGCTGTTTGTGAAATGACAAGAAAGGCTTAATTAACTGTTCCGTTATTATTATTGTGAGAGATTCACGGCCTCGTGCATATACGTGTTGTCACATCTGCATGGTAGCAGGAAAGCTGCATAATTAAGTCTGTGAGTCATCCTCAGTTCTCTTTCTGTTCTATAAGTACTTTTCTCACCATTTCTTTCTGCCGCTTCCGCAGCCCAGACTGTGTTGATATGCTTGAATCCGCAGATAAGAGTTAATTAGCGAAAGGTTGCTCTCTAAAGACTTGGATGGAGCAGAGCTGATGGGAACAAACAGTGCAGTTTGTGCGTGGCTGTAGCTTGGATACGCTGCTCTCCTGATGTTTCTCAGGGAGGCCGACGAGGCACCAGAGTGCTGCAGTGCAGATGGATGTGTCTTTCAGTGTATGGTCATGTGAGGCGCTTATTACAGTGTTCTAACAGATGTCTAATGCTTAAGCATAATGTCAAAAGATGTACAGTGAACTCCCGTTGATCGTGGGGGATACATTTCCAGACCTACGTACGATGGGTAAAAATCGGAGCCCATATGCAGTCATTAAAAAAAAAAAAGCACTGTCGCTATCAAGAAATTGAAAATCAGTTTGAGTACGCAAACGAAAAGAAGACTCACTTGCACACTTCTCCAAATATTAAACACTCAATTGACATTTGCATGTATTCTATAGGCGGGCCGTTGGTCGATTGGTTAGCACGTCGGCCTAACAGTGCGGAGTTACAGGGTTTGAGCCCGGCTCCGGCCTCCCCGTGTGGAATTCGCATGTTCTCGCCGTGCCTGCGTGGGTTTTCTCCGGGTACTCTCACATTCCAAAAACATGGGTGGCAGGTTAATGGAACACTCAAAATTTGTCCCTAAGTGTGAGTGTGAGTGCAGGCAGATGGTTGTTTGTCTATGTGTGCCCTGCCATTGGCTGGCAACCAGTTCAGGGTGTCCCCCGCCGACTGCCCAAAGACAGCTGGGATAGACTCCAGCACACCCCGCTACCCTTGTGAGGATAAGGCAGATGAGAAAATCGATGGATGGATGTATTCTGTCAAAATCCTTTCTAAAAAAAAAAAAACGTTGCGATATCATGGGAGTTTTCCGCACATGACTCCACATTAGCATTGTTTTATTTAGGTTTTTTTTTGTCTGTTCTATCTAATCTCTAATTTATGAAAAACTGAATGACGACCTTCAGTATTTAAACATTGACTATGCTTCCTCTTTTGTCTTCTTGTCTGTGAGCAGCAACAGGAACAAGATCCAACAAATCTGTATATTTCCAACTTGCCTCTGTCTGTGGATGAGAAAGAGTTGGAGAACATGCTGCAGCCTTTTGGCCAAGTTGTTTCCACACGCATCCTCCGCGACTACGGTGGCAACAGCCGGGGTGTGGGCTTTGCCAGGTCGGTCATAGACGAGCCAGTGAAAAAGTAACCTGAAACGTTGCATTTGTTTGTCGCTTTGTGATAAAGGAATGACTAGGGTTGCACAATTCCGAGACTTACCAAAATTGGAAACTCTGTTTTGCAAATTTTTATGGGAATGAACAGAAATAAACCAGAAACGTACAAGATTGAAAGTTGGCTTTTAATGGAGAACGACAATATAGTTGGAGAAAAATGATTTGGAATAATCCTGACTAAAACAGTCACGCATGTGCAGTGGTCACTAGACTTATGAGGACCATAACTTTATTTTTTTGCCCCTATTTATGAGTTTTTCGAGTTACAGGTTGTTGCTTGGTTAATTTATTTTTGCAAGCTTTAGATGCCATCACTCGAGTGAAGTGAAAATACATTGCGTAGTAAAGGTACGATCACGCATTCACATGTGGGCAAGGAGAATCTCTTTGACTTGGATGTCTGCTTATGACAAATCAAAATGTGAATATAATGCATTTTCATTCAGTTACTCTTAATTCCCATGGAAACTTTCCGATTTGCAAACTTCCCAAATTCTACTTAAAGTAATGCTTCTTACTAGATATTTTTCATCTCTTTGTATCACTAGCAGTGACCTCCACAAGCATGTTACCGGTACTCATTTTTTTCAGATAAGCCCAGAAAAAAGAATCTATATATTTTATTTTTTTTGTGCTGTTCATGTACTGTACACTACAAGCTTTATTATTCAATTGGGAAAAAAAAGCATAGGGTGATAAATAATTCAATTTACCTGCTGACCTTAGAAGAAAGAAAAAAAAATTGTGATTCCATCACAGTCTATCTCGTAGAGCAGTGTGAATTTGCTTTCCCCTCAAAATAACTCAACATACAGCCATCAATGTCTGAACTGCTAACAACAAAAGTGAGTACACCTGTGAGTGAAAATGTCTGAATATGGGACAAGTTGGCCATTTTCCCATCCAGGTGTTTGTGCGACTGGATGGATGAGCGGATGGACAGATGGCTAGAAAGATGGATAGATGGACAGGTTGGTGTTAGAGAGGAGGATGCAGAAGCTAAACATCGATGGAAAAGGATGACATGCTGTGGCGACAAGATGAAAGGAAAAGAAGAAGATACAGAATAGCAAACATTTGTACATTTGGCTTCACAAAAACTGACGTCCGTCTAAATACATTTAGTCTCATACCATGGGCTAAACAGTAGATATAAAAACTTGACACCCCCTTGTTCTAATCACAGTTTTTTTGGGGGGGAGGGAATGGAAAAATGAGAACAAAATGAATCATTGAATATTCCGCAAGTGTAACACAGAATGAAGTAATCACATTCATATTCACATGTTAAATTAGGAGTCAACACGCATCTGCCGCCAGCACCTCTGATTAACTTCAAATCTAGTTCAGCTGTCCTAATAGGCCTCTCCTGACATGTTGCTGAACAATATGCAAAAATGTATACTGCTGCTATACATACTGTTCCTGTGATGTGTATTTGGATGTTGGATTTTTTTTTTTTTTTTTTGGTCCAGTCAGAATATAGCCTCTCAGTGTTGGCATGTCACTCTAATCTGCCCAGGCCCTTTGTTGAGCCAATCACTTTTCCTATTCTCCCTCACAAGGCCAGAGCATGATGGCCCTCGATGATTTCCACATTTTCTCATCCTCTGATTGGTTGGTCAGATCAAAACTTGTTATAGCCAATTTTGAGTAGCAAAAGACATCTATTACAATCTGCACACATTAATACATTTAATAACCACCATCTCTGGTAAGTATGATGTGTTTATGGTAAATGTTTTTGTCATGCTGTTTCATACATACAGGTATTTTATTCTGAAATAATATTGATAATATATGCGCCACAAATCGTGTGCTGTTGCATTGCGTTTTTTTGTATGACATTGATGGATTTTGGAATTGCGATGTGATAGTGGGGGTATTAGTGGTGGATTAAGTCGGGTAAGCCCCCACTGAAGTCCCTGGCGCCAAATTCGCTGCCCACCATTTGTAAAAAAACAAATAAAAATAATAATTTGATGTGAATCTGACGATGACAATAATGCCGTGATGTAATTGAACGTTTTGCAACACTGCAGTGCGCTAGCGTCAGTCTGTTCATAGTTGTTGCTCCCTTTCATCTCCAACCAGGATGGACACCACCGAGCAGTGTAACGCTGTGATCTCACACTTCAACGGGAAATTTATCAAGATCGCCTCCGGAGCACTGGGTATGAAAGCCATTCCCCTTTGTGGAGGCGGTGATGAAAATGGCTGTTCTTAACCATATTCCTCTCCTTTTCCCTCAGCTCCCTCTCAGCCCTTGTTGTGCAAGTTTGCAGACAGCCAAAGGAAGAAACACGCTCACAGTGGATTTGTTCCCAATGGACAGACAGGCGATCTCAGACTAGTATGTATCAGCTTTTATGGTTTCTCTACCTAAAATGAAAAGTAGATGTAACTAGATAACAGACTAGGCAGTTTTGACTACATACTATTTTGGGTCAAATTTGACGTGTTTTGACATTTGACAATAATAAGAATACCTTAAACGTCATTGTTTCACCCTGAAATGTAGTGACTTTTCCTAAAGTGACGCAAAATTCACAAACATGAAAATATTTGAAGATGTTTTTGGACAGGTAATACAAAGTTTGTGTTCACTGAGGCTGTCCTTGCTCAAATTAGACCCGTGTCAACTGAAATATATTTTAGATTTACTAGTGTGTGTTAAATCAAGAAGAATGGTAAAAATCTTGAAACTGCACATGCGCTAAATTGTTATTGGACAATGGCAGTAGTCTTCAAAAGGGAGCTTGAAACAGTCCCAAAATATGTCTGCGTCCCACACCATTTGCGTAAGTACCTACAGAAACATGCACCTGCTGGTCTTTTGAAACAGTAAATAATTCCAAGTCAAACAAACAGTATACATACTGTATATGTTTTGAGGACAGTGAGCACAATGTTCACTTGGGAGTTGAAGACAGTCTCGAAAACTGTCTGTGTTCCTCCCACATTTACACAGGCACAACTACAAAAGCTGATGTGAATTTTCTCTTTGCAGGGCGCAATGACTCTTACCTATGATCCCTCCTCAGCAGCTATGCAGAATGGGTCAGTCACATGCACCATATGTCATATGCTGGGAGCTTTTCAATCCAAGAGCTTTATTTTGAACTGCTCTCTGTTACCCAGGTACTATCCATCTCCATATCCAGTGCCCAACAGGATAATGACCGTGCAGCCAGCTATGTCCCCCTACATGTCTCCGGTCTCTGCTTACCAGGTCGGCTTCTATAAAGTAGCTCAGGGGTTATAGCTGAATTAAGTTCATTCTCGCTCTTTTCTACTGTGTGTTGCATTTAAGATGAGGGTGGTTGCATTTTTTCCCCCCCAAGAAATCTTGCCATTGTAAGTCGAGCATTATGCTTATTTTACTTGGCCCATGAAAGCTCCTGAATTATGTAGTCAGAAGGACTGTTTTCTCCCAGGACACGTTACCCTTAATCATACACAAATTCCCTTGGGAGTGCCTTTTTAACACACTTCTCTGTCAAAGCAAATTGTGGTGTGTCTTTAACTTGGTTAACAGAAGTCTGGTAACTGCTAGTGTATAAATAATGTTAAACGGCCTAGTGGAAATTAGCATTGATATCTCTGTTATTAACTTCCTACTTTAACATACATTGATTTAACACACAGTCAATTTATACAAAAAACACATTCTTTCTGCTCAGTGGGAACTACAATTATTACTGGAGTTCAGTTGCAGAGCCTCTTTGTTTCTTCTTCTTCTTGCTGTCATTATTTTCTTTGTCCATTACTCAGCATGTCTTCTTCAGTGCTGCCAAATATAGTGGCGACAGGAACAATACACCGCAATATAGCAAGGTTTAGTGTATTTGGGTGGGATTAGAATACTTGGGTAGAAATCGCAAAAATGAAAACACCCCTGCTAAACTTGGCTTTCCTTGCCGCTATGCTCAGCATACAACTGGAGTTACCTCACTTTTCTTGCTCCATCCCTCTCGGCTTGAGTAAAACATTTTTCTTTTTTGCATTCAGAAGAGTCAATATTTGAGATTACTGCACAACTTTCTTGCTGCTGTTTGTTTGTGTGGCTCTTCCCTGTATAGAAAGCTGTTTGTGCATTTATGGGATATCCTTGACATCCAGCTAAGGCTCCATGTACCAGTGCACTAGTTCATGGACGTGATCTTAAGTCATCAATAAGTATATTTATATTCCCACCAAGATACTATTTCTTGAAAAAACATATACAAGTGTAGTCCAGTATGTCGGCGCCAATACATTTCCTATTTTAAGTATGGAGTAAGAGGTATTTGGTCCAAGAAAAGTAATAGCTTACCTGTTCTGAATGAGACATATTTTGCTCTTCATTAACTCTTAACACAAACAATGGTTCATTTGTTTAAAAAAATAATAATAATTTGATTTATTTTATTACATGTTTTACTCCATAGGATTTTTGCAATTGCTTGTCTGTTAGCTTGCACATAATGCACACTTGTGATACACAGTACTGTAGCATTTATGTACTTTTCTCCTTTCTGTGTCCGACTGTGCCTGTCTTGTCGTTTCAAAGGTTCAGAGTCACTCCTGGGTGGCACATCAGCCATATATCATGCAACACCCGGTAAGGCAACATGCATTAACCTCACGTATGTATGTATGCATATATGGACTGTCTGTATGTAAGCATGTGTGGGTGTGTGGCTCAGCCTCAGCTGTAAAACACTAATTCATAACTTAAATTCAGCTTGTTCTGCTGACACGGTTAAAACAGCAACTTCCCCTAAATGCAGCATTACTTGCATGGAGAGCCGTTTGAGCATTTTATGCTCGATAGCCAGCTGAAAGGGTCAACCCCAAAATTGTTGGTTATGCAGAAATGTAATACAGTACTGTAACAGAAAAAAACTAATGAGTAATACACAGTTGTACTACACATGCACTCTACCAGTGCATTCTACCAGTGCATTGAATTGGACTGGACTTTAAAGGGGAAATCAACCCCCCAAAAATCCTTTAAAAGAATACAGGTATGTTCTATGCGCCTCCACTAGTCTAAACATGGCATTCTGATTCCAGGACACGTTACCCTTAATCATACACAAATTCCCTTGGGAGTGCCTTTTTAACACACTTCTCTGTCAAAGCAAATTGTGGTGTGTCTTTAACTTGGTTAACAGAAGTCTGGTAACTGCTAGTGTATAAATAATGTTAAACGGCCTAGTGGAAATTAGCATTGATATCTCTGTTATTAACTTCCTACTTTAACATACATTGATTTAACACACAGTCAATTTATACAAAAAACACATTCTTTCTGCTCAGTGGGAACTACAATTATTACTGGAGTTCAGTTGCAGAGCCTCTTTGTTTCGTCTTCTTCTTGCTGTCATTATTTTCTTTGTCCATTACTCAGCATGTCTTCTTCAGTGCTGCCAAATATAGTGGCGACAGGAACGATACACCGCAATATAGCAAGGTTTAGTGTATTTGGGTGGGATTAGAATACTTGGGTAGAAATCGCAAAAATGAAAACACCCCTGCTAAACTTGGCTTTCCTTGCCGCTATGCTCAGCATACAACTGGAGTTACCTCACTTTTCTTGCTCCATCCCTCTCGGCTTGAGTAAAACATTTTTCTTTTTTGCATTCAGAAGAGTCAATATTTGAAATAATTGTACAACTCTCTTGCTGCTGTTTGTTTGTGTGGCTCTTCCCTGTATAGAAAGCTGTTTGTGCATTTATGGGATATCCTTGACATCCAGCTAAGGCTCCATGTACCAGTGCACTAGTTCATGGACGTGATCTTAAGTCATCAATAAGTATATTTATATTCCCACCAAGATACTATTTCTTGAAAAAACATATACAAGTGTAGTCCAGTATGTCGGCGCCAATACATTTCCTATTTTAAGTATGGAGTAAGAGGTATTTGGTCCAAGAAAAGTAATAGCTTACCTGTTCTGAATGAGACATATTTTGCTCTTCATTAACTCTTAACACAAACAATGGTTCATTTGTTTAAAAAAATAAAAATAATTTGATTTATTTTATTACATGTTTTACTCCATAGGATTTTTGCAATTGCTTGTCTGTTAGCTTGCACATAATGCACACTTGTGATACACAGTACTGTAGCATTTATGTACTTTTCTCCTTTCTGTGTCCGACTGTGCCTGTCTTGTCGTTTCAAAGGTTCAGAGTCACTCCTGGGTGGCACATCAGCCATATATCATGCAACACCCGGTAAGGCAACATGCATTAACCTCACGTATGTATGTATGCATATATGGACTGTCTGTATGTAAGCATGTGTGGGTGTGTGGCTCAGCCTCAGCTGTAAAACACTAATTCATAACTTAAATTCAGCTTGTTCTGCTGACACGGTTAAAACAGCAACTTCCCCGAAATGCAGCATTATTTGCATGGAGAGCCATTTGAGCATTTTATGCTCGATAGCCAGCTGAAAGGGTCAACCCCAAAATTGTTGGTTATGCAGAAATGTAATACAGTACTGTAACAGAAAAAAACTAATGAGTAATACACAGTTGTACTACACATGCACTCTACCAGTGCATTCTACCAGTGCATTGAATTGGACTGGACTTTAAAGGGGAAATCAACCCCCCAAAAATCCTTTAAAAGAATACAGGTATGTTCTATGCGCCTCCACTAGTCTAAACATGGCATTCTGATTACTATTGTGTTTGTGGAATATGAGTTTGAGCATCAAAATCCACCTCTTTTTAGCCATCTTGGGGGGCGGCCATTTTGTCACTTTCTGTCTACTGACAATAACACCACAGTTGCTCAGAGCTCAGGTAGCAACCAATCACGGCTCAGCTGTTTTCTGAAGCTGAGCCGCGCACTAGTCTTCTGTCTGTCTTATTTCTTTTTTCCACCACTGTATAACATTTATGCACACCTGAAGTACAACTGTGGTATACTAGTAGAACAACTAATTGTTAACTGTGAGTCAAACTGTGCCTAGTTGACATCTGTGCGCTACGAGCACTACTCGTGAAGTGCTAGATTTAAACGAGTTGAATTGTTTGGCACCTGTAGTACTACGAGCATGACTTTGAGTGCACAGGTTTGCTTTACTTGTAACATGTAACATGTAGTTGTCCTACAACCGTTTTACGAGTTATTCGACTAGTAAAGTCAGAGTGCAAGTATGAGAGTTCTGTGTACTAGTAGTAGGAATACAATTCTGCATACTACCACTGTAGGATAAAGAAAACCCTCCTACACAAGTCAAACGGCTGATGTGCTGATGTCTTATTAGTAACATTTTCCCAACAGCTGTATAACATTTCCGCACACTAGTAGTACAACTTTGCCATACTACTTGGACAACTACATGTTACGAGTGAGGTAAAAACTACGAGTGGTAATTTTGGTGCTAACAAATCGGAGCCAGGAGGCTACTACTATGTGACACATGCCTAAAAAATTGGGCCTAGTAGTGTTGCTAGTGCAGCATACCAGTGTGCAAATAAGGTTTAATCGCATGTTTGTAGTCAAAAAGTGTCATTTAGTAGTGGAAAAACACTAGCAATAAGAAAAAGTCGTACTACTTCTACTACAACGTGCAGCCCAGTTGTTCTCCCAGTGCATGTCATTGTCTTACCATTGTAATGAGGGAATATACTTTACTAGTTCATGAATCTTAAGATGGGTATCAAAATAATGCTGAAAAGGCTTTTTACAGACTCACGCTGATCAAATAAAGCACAACCTGTATTTATTTACCGGTACATGTTGTCAGAGTGCATGAGCAAGTGTCGATGTGTGAGAAATATGAAACAAGTAGGAAGAGTGTGAAGCCCTACAGCAGCCTTCCCTCTCTCTGGATCGAGCAGGAAATGCCTGAAGCAGCAACCGTCTTGTGACTCTTTGACTCGTCCAACAGATGGTTTCCAATGGAACAAGTGTCTCTGCAGATCTGCCCCTCCCCCGACACTTTACCGGGAAATGCTCAATACCAAAAAGGCGACGAGATGGAAAGCTGTTTGAGGATTTATTCCATATCCTTGATATCGAACTCATGTTTCCCTCCACTATACTAGTTTCTGTTTTGGCTTAGTGGGACTTACATGAAATAAATGCTCAGACAGCTTTTCAGAAGTCATTTGAGCATTAATTTGATATCTTTGATCTCTAACTCTATAGGTCCATTTTTGTAACGTGTTGCAGCCATAAAATTATAAGTTAATGATTATTTGCTAAAAACAACGTTGATCAGGTTGAACATTTAATATCTGCCTCTGTAACATATTCAATCAAGTATAGGTTGAACATGATTTGCAAGTCATTGTATTCTGCTGATCAAATAAAGCACAACCTGTATTTATTTACTTGTTGTCAGAGTGCATGTGCAAGTGTCGATGTGTGAGAAATATGAAACAAGTAGGAAGAGTGTGAAGCCCTACAGCAGCCTTCCCTCTCTCTGGATCGAGCAGGAAATGCCTGAAGCAGCAACCGTCTTGTGACTCTTTGACTCGTCCAACAGATGGTTTCCAATGGAACAAGTGTCTCTGCAGATCTGCCCCTCCCCCGACACTTTACCGGGAAATGCTCAATACCAAAAAGGCGACGAGATGGAAAGCTGTTTGAGGATTTATTCCATATCCTTGATATCGAACTCATGTTTCCCTCCACTATACTAGTTTCTGTTTTGGCTTAGTGGGACTTACATGAAATAAATGCTCAGACAGCTTTTCAGAAGTCATTTGAGCATTAATTTGATATCTTTGATCTCTAACTCTATAGGTCCATTTTTGTAACGTGTTGCAGCCATAAAATTATAAGTTAATGATTATTTGCTAAAAACAAAGTTGATCAGGTTGAACATTAAATATCTGTCTCTAACATATTCAATCAAGTATCGGTTGAACATGATTTGCAAGTCATTGTATTCTGTTTTTATGGAAAACACAACGTCCCAACTTCATTGGAATTGGGTTTGTAGTAAGTATGTATGTGTCCTGCTACTACTACTACTAGTACTAGAAGGTCAACTTCTGGTAAAATAGTAGGACCACTATGTGCTACTAGCGAAGCAAAACTGATAACGGCATGCTCCTATGCTCAATACCAAAAAGGCGACGAGATGGAAAGCTGTTTGAGGATTTATTCCATATCCTTGATATCGAACTCATGTTTCCCTCCACTATACTAGTTTCTGTTTTGGCTTAGTGGGACTTACATGAAATAAATGCTCAGACAGCTTTTCAGAAGTCATTTGAGCATTAATTTGATATCTTTGATCTCTAACTCTATAGGTCCATTTTTGTAACGTGTTGCAGCCATAAAATTATAAGTTAATGATTATTTGCTAAAAACAAAGTTGATCAGGTTGAACATTAAATATCTGTCTCTAACATATTCAATCAAGTATCGGTTGAACATGATTTGCAAGTCATTGTATTCTGTTTTTATGGAAAACACAACGTCCCAACTTCATTGGAATTGGGTTTGTAGTAGGTATGTGTCCTACTACTACCACTACTAGTACTAGAAGGTCAACTTCTGGTAAAATAGTAGGACCACTATGTGCTACTAGCGAAGCAAAACTGATAACGGCATGCTCCTAGCACTTCTGCTTGTCAACATCGAGTGTTTCACTATTAGCATTAGTAGCGTACAGACGTCGAGTGCACGATTTTGCCTCAATTGTGACATGTAGTTGTACAAGTATTCCCAAGATTTCCTTCTTGTATTCAGAAACGGCATACGGTAGTGGAACACAGTCGGTCTGTGCTTATTTGTCTTGACAAGGTGTGTCCTTGTACCTTAAGCTGGATAACCGAGGATATGGAAGAAATGCTCAAATGGCTCTCTATACAATACGTTGAAGTGAATACACCCCACCTGAATCTGTTATTTACTTTCATCACAAAATGAAACATTTGTTAACAGACTACTTATTTAAATCAAAAAGTGTTTTTTCAGGTGATCATGAGATTCCTTAAAATTTCCTGGCATCACCTGTATGCATCTGTTGTACTGTACATGCTCTTTTGGGCAGAAGCTACCTGCTGCCATTTTTCCATCTTCTATTTTCATGTTTTTTTTTTTGTTTTTTTTTACGTGAGTCCATTTCATTGGAGGAACTCTGTTATGTGGCCTGTGGTGAAAGCCAGCTGATTTCTCCCTCTTGCAGGCCCCCGTGATGTCTCCCTCTGTGGATCCCTCCATGTCATTGCATCCCTCTACTATGATTACTCAGCAAATGGGTCAGCTGTCCCTAGGAAACACTGGAGCAGTGAGTAGAATTCTGGACCGATGTGGCAAAAGTACTCACATATTGTCATAGAAGTGCAGATACTTTCAATAAATAAATAAAATAAAATGACTGGTGAAGGTTTAAGTACAGATTTGACTCCTTTTACTGTGTCAAACAAATAAATCCTCCAAAAAAAACAGAGTATTTGTACTTTGTGACTTCCTTCTACTGATCCTGGAATATTCTTCATGACTCCCTTCATGATTGACAAGCATATATTTCTTAGAACACGTTCTACCATTGTTGATTTTGTTTCACAGTATATTGCAGCCAACCCGGGGGCCCAAGGTGCTTACATACCACAGTATCATCCTCTGCCGGCAGCACCGGTAGGTTCGCTCTACATTTACAGCATTCTGTACATCGGGAGTGTCCAAAGTCGGTCCTCGGGGGCCGCCGTCCTGCGTGTTTTCCAGCTCTCCCGGCTGCAACGCACCTGATTCAGACGATGGCTCATCAGCCAACTCTGAAGTAGCATTAGAACAACCCTGATTATTTGAATCATATGTGTTGCTCCCGAGAGAGCTGGAAAACAGGCAGGACGGCGGCCCCTGAGGACCGACTTTAGACACCCCTGCTATTCATCATCCTTAACTGTCAGCTTCTACCTGAGCACATTCATTTTTTTTGTCCCTCACCAACCATAACCAAAAGTCCAAATACAGCGCTTGCATTAGAAGTTGCATTAGAAGTATCCTTAAAAAAAAAAAAAAGTATGTGTGTTTGTATACAGAGAGAGATGTTTCCATTCATTTCAATAGGAAACCTAACCTTGATTTGTTAACGTTTCAAGTCTGCTACTTTGATGCTAAAATAATAATGTGAAATTCCTTACTGAAGCTAACGGCTCAAGTATCCTTAAAAAAAAAAAAGTATGTGTGTGTGTGTATACAGAGAGAGATGTTTCGATTCATTTCAATAGGAAACCTAACCTTGATTTGTAAACGTTTCAAGTCTGCTACTTTGATGCTAAAATAATAATGTGAAATTCCTTACTGAAGCTAACGGCTGATAGCAAAGATTTTACGGTCAGTATACATTTGAACAACTGTTACTTTAACAAACAAGGAGCAGCAGCACATACAAAATGAACATTCAACATTACTCACAGGCAAGTATCCTCTTTGCTCTGTGGCAACAATGACATTTAATGGAACTTACTTGGGTAGCTTTTCTGCCTCTTCTGACTGTTGATTATCCAGTTAAACTCAGATTTAGACTTCATATAAACTGTAAAAACCAATTAAAAACAAGCGCTTAAAAGTCCGAAATATCACAGAGTTGCAAATGATTAGCTATGATAAAGCCATTTAACATTACTGTTAAATATATATATCTCATATGTTCTCAAATTGCTTTTCAGGAAAGCGGCACGCCACAGCAGCTGGATTCTTCCACCAACTCGTCCCCTTACAGTCAACTCAGCAAGTAACCACAGGTACTCGATAAAGATCGTTTTTATAAAGCTACAAAATAATCCAAATGTGCAAATATCTTACCAAATAGAATGATATTTTGATTAAGTAGCGATCCAGTTACTGTCTCTCTCACACACACACATACTCACACCTGCAGACGCGTCTCTTCCGCTGCGAACAGCTCTTCTACAGGCAAAGACAGAGCGGTGAGTTTGTCTTCATAGCTTGTTAGGAGGGAGAAAGGGAGAAGTAAGTTGGAAGATGCTCCTAAATAAGTCTACCTTGTCTGATATCAAGAAGCCTCCTCGCCAAATGGCATCGACAAAGAGTTGAGGCGGCTGAGAGTGCGACAGACAGATTGTGACACGTTCAATTGACATAACTACAAACTTCATTTGGTGACAAGCAAGCTTGTTCCCCACTGGTTGCATTTAACTTGGTCATAAATCGTTAGTGTCGTTTCTCGATGAGAGAAGTCACGCACATACCCAACAACTACATAGCTGAGCGCATTTATCATTTTAGCCTGCTCGAGCCTATTAATAACAATATAAATGCATTCTTTACCATTAGGCAAATCAAATGTATCAAACAGAGAATTCCCTCATTTTCTGGTCATGCGTATATGGTCCATTAAACTAAATTGGTGCCATTTATCTCGGAAGTGCAGAGCTGCAAATGTGGAGTAAAACTATTTTGACTGACTTGTGAGTACCTTCGAACCTACCCGCAAATACATTTGGACGCACTTGTGGCCTAAATGCTACAAATGTAGCATTGTCCCATAATGCCATGGCATATTGACTTGCACATGCACTATGGGGAAAAAATGCAGGACGTAAATCATGCATTACACCAATAATTAAACCATAAAATTAAGAAGAACCAATGTTCATTTAATTTACTTAATAATGCTGATTATTCATGCTACAATAATAATGATACTTTTCAATTGATTTGCCCTCAATTTGCAGTTACAAAATTTGGAATGGAAATGGACTGCACAATTTCCAGCCCTATGCAGCCCCACTCCACATCCGGCATTGTCAGCCATGCTTCTTCTTGTTGTCTGTGTTTTTAGGCTCAGCGATAACTCGGCAAGCCAGAGGGTTGGCGAGAGCGGGCTGATGACGTCACCGTTTTAGCAGCCCTCTCTGATTGGACCAGACACACAAACTTTTTTGCACAGCCCTTATGCTTGTGTTGGAAAACGAGGACAGTGAAAATGCACTCAAGCAGTTGGCTAATCACAAAAAAAAAAAAAAAAGATTTATTTTGATAAGAAACAACATGCTCTTCAAGATTTTCTCTTTTTTTCAAGAAGGATTCTCAAATTCCAGAGGACACTTCCCCACCCCTGCCCCCACCGCATTATCCACAGTATGATGTGATTTTACATGCATGAGATTGCGATGTCCCCTCCACCCCCCACTTCTAGGTTTTTATGATTTTATAGCTACGTGCCCCTGCAAAACCTTGTTTGCACTGACTTGTAAAGTAAAAAAAAAAAAAAAAGGGTTGTGTTTCACAATTGTCACAGAATCACATGCTTGAAAGAGGTGACCATGTCATGAAAAGGTGCCTTCCTAACCACCATCTTCCAGCGTTTCTCATTGAACTTGATCAGGTGTCATATTTGCCATCATAATTCCATCTGATTGATCTCACACAGGAAGTGCGGCGCTATCTAGTCTTCTGGTAGCAATAATGAGAGTCCCACTGCAATACTGAGGGCAGGAAAGGAAAAAAAAAAAGAACGGTGACAAACTCAAAACAAAGGAATTCTTGTTTTTCTCCTCTTTGTTTTTTGTTGTTGTTTTGTTTAAATAACTGTCGAAATGACATCAAGCAGGAGCTGTGCTTTTTGGAAATTACACAGAATTGGCGTAACTTTGATGCTAAAATAATAATGTGAAATTCCTTAGTGAAGCTAACGGCCGATAGCAAAGATTTTACGGTCAGTATACATTTGAACAACTGTTACTTTAACAAACAAGGAGCAGCAGCACATACAAAATGAACATTCAACATTACTCACAGGCAAGTATCCTCTTTGCTCTGTGGCAACAATGACATTTAATGGAGCTTACTTGGGTAGCTTTTCTGCTTCTTCTGACTGTTGATTATCCAGTTAAACTCAGATTTGGACTTCATATAAACTGTAAAAACCCATTAAAAACAAGCGCTTAAAAGTCCGAAATATCACGGAGTTGCAAATGATTAGCTATGATAAAGCCAGTTAACATTCCTGTTAAATATATATGTCTCATATATTCTCAAATTGCTTTTCAGGAAAGCGGCACGCCACAGCAGCTGGATTCTTCCACCAACTCGTCCCCTTACAGTCAACTCAGCAAGTAACCACAGGTACTCGATAAAGATCGTTTTTATAAAGCTACAAAATAATCCAAATGTGCAAATATCTTACCAAATAGAATGATATTTTGATTAAGTAGCGATCCAGTTACTGTCTCTCTCACACACACACATACTCACACCTGCAGACGCGTCTCTTCCGCTGCGAACAGCTCTTCTACAGGCAAAGACAGAGTGGTGAGTTTGTCTTCATAGCTTGTTAGGAGGGAGAAAGGGAGAAGTAAGTTGGAAGATGCTCCTAAATAAGTCTACCTTGTCTGATATCAAGAAGCCTCCTCGCCAAATGGCATCGACAAAGAGTTGAGGCGGCTGAGAGTGCGACAGACAGATTGTGACACGTTCAATTGACATAACTACAAACTTCATTTGGTGACAAGCAAGCTTGTTCCCCACTGGTTGCATTTAACTTGGTCATAAATCGTTAGTGTCGTTTCTCGATGAGAGAAGTCACGCACATACCCAACAACTACATAGCTGAGCGCATTTATCATTTTAGCCTGCTCGAGCCTATTAATAACAATATAAATGCATTCTTTACCATTAGGCAAATCAAATGTATCAAACAGAGAATTCCCTCATTTTCTGGTCATGCGTATATGGTCCATTAAACTAAATTGGTGCCATTTATCTCGGAAGTGCAGAGCTGCAAATGTGGAGTAAAACTATTTTGACTGACTTGTGAGTACCTTCGAACCTACCCGCAAATACATTTGGACGCACTTGTGGCCTAAATGCTACAAATGTAGCATTGTCCCATAATGCCATGGCATATTGACTTGCACATGCACTATGGGGAAAAAATGCAGGACGTAAATCATGCATTACACCAATAATTAAACCATAAAATTAAGAAGAACCAATGTTCATTTAATTTACTTAATAATGCTGATTATTCATGCTACAATAATAATGATACTTTTCAATTGATTTGCCCTCAATTTGCAGTTAGAAAATTTGGAATGGAAATGGACTGCACAATTTCCAGCCCTATGCAGCCCCACTCCACATCCGGCATTGTCAGCCATGCTTCTTCTTGTTGTCTGTGTTTTTAGGCTCAGCGATAACTCGGCAAGCCAGAGGGTTGGCGAGAGCGGGCTGATGACGTCACCGTTTTAGCAGCCCTCTCTGATTGGACCAGACACACAAACTTTTTTGCACAGCCCTTATGCTTGTGTTGGAAAACGAGGACAGTGAAAATGCACTCAAGCAGTTGGCTAATCACAAAAAAAAAAAAAAAAAAGATTTATTTTGATAAGAAACAACATGCTCTTCAAGATTTTCTCTTTTTTTCAAGAAGGATTCTCAAATTCCAGAGGACACTTCCCCACCCCTGCCCCCACCGCATTATCCACAGTATGATGTGATTTTACATGCATGAGATTGCGATGTCCCCTCCACCCCCCACTTCTAGGTTTTTATGATTTTATAGCTACGTGCCCCTGCAAAACCTTGTTTGCACTGACTTGTAAAGTAAAAAAAAAAAAAAAGGGTTGTGTTTCACAATTGTCACAGAATCACATGCTTGAAAGAGGTGACCATGTCATGAAAAGGTGCCTTCCTAACCACCATCTTCCAGCGTTTCTCATTGAACTTGATCAGGTGTCATATTTGCCATCATAATTCCATCTGATTGATCTCACACAGGAAGTGCGGCGCTATCTAGTCTTCTGGTAGCAATAATGAGAGTCCCACTGCAATACTGAGGGCAGGAAAGGAAAAAAAAAAAGAACGGTGACAAACTCAAAACAAAGGAATTCTTGTTTTTCTCCTCTTTGTTTTTTGTTGTTGTTTTGTTTAAATAACTGTCGAAATGACATCAAGCAGGAGCTGTGCTTTTTGGAAATTACACAGAATTGGCGTATTTTGTGATGTGTTTTTTGTTTGGTTGGTTTTTTTGTTTTGTTTTATTTCCTCTCATGGTCAGTTTGACCGGTGATCTACCTCATGGTTCTGAGTCTGCCGGTGTGGTTGGGTTTGCAGGTAAAGCCCTTTTTTTTCTTTTTTTCTTTTTTTTTTGCACCAGAGTGGATGAAGCAGAACAAAAGCCACGCTCGGGAGCTGGCCAACTCGGACTTCAAGCGTTACGTCTCCTCCCACTTGCAGCATTTTCTCGTCCATGCTTTTGAAACGTGGTCATTTTGCCTCATCTTTATTCCTCATTACTTATTGTTTAAGTGTTTTGTTTTTGTCTTGCTCGAGAAAGTGAGTGTAGTTTAGTTTCCATGCTCCATTTAGAGCATTGGTGTCAAACTCATCTGGCCGCCACTTAGATTTTTTTTGTGGCACACTGAAAAGCTAATAGTGTCTTGCCGAATCAATTTGTTCTTGTCATTTTGGGAGAAAATCTCTCAAAATTGCATGTGTCGTCACTTGTTAGAGACATTACAAATTTGTTTTTAATAAGCCCCAAAGGTCTTTATGTACTTCCTTTTTTTTAATAGATTTTGTATCATTATGGACAGATGTGAGGCTATCATTATGTTTTGTTCGCATAGAACTTCCTTGCCCATCACTGGTCAATTGATACTGAAGTAACATTGAAGCCTTTGAGCAACCTGAAGTCAGTACAGGTAAAGCTTTCTCATTTTTTGAAGTATCCATTGAATCGAGCGAGCGTTTGTTAATCCTGAGTTGCAGTGCAGCCATCCAAGATAGACTTTGCTAGTCGTTGCACTTTCATCAGAGATGGTGGTAGCAGGCCGTTTGCTGCTTGGTTGTCAAGAACAAATCCCATTTCAAGGAATTTGTCATGAAAGCATAAATTGTGCTATGCGTCCGGGCAGTGTGATGGTAAAGAAATCTTGTCAAACCGGCTCTGAATTACAGTTGGGGTTGGGAAAACTTCAATTGTAGAATGTTCCTCCAATGTCATTTGGCCAGCCATTGGCAAGTACGTGATATGCTTACAAAAACAGCTGAAAATTAAGCTGTCAAATGTTGATGGCCTCATGTCTGACTGCACAAAATGGGAAAAAAAAAAGTGTAAAGGGACTTTTGGGACCCCATGCATACACTGATCACAAAGAGTTTAGGATATTGGGGCTTTCTGGTGAAATTCCCGCATGAACCAAAAAATGAAGTATAAACAGGTGAATGTAATTCGAAGAGAACTGTTTGAATGCCAAATTAAACCAGTAGATGTATTAGTCCATTTACGGATTACCCTTGATGAACTTTCCGTTCAAGAATAAATACTGAAACAAATAGTTGCACATGTGCATTGAAAGTATATATTTTCCAAAGGATGTCCACTTCTGTGCCTTTCTGTGATGCTTCTAGTACCGCTGTTGCAATGTTCTGGTGACACACTGTGTCCCCCAAAGCTCAGTGGCCACACTGGGCCGACTTCAATCCGTGCTTAAAGTGTAACAAATGCTTATAGTGTCATTAGCAAAGCACCCGTTGCGAATTTTGCAGAGAACAGCAAGTCGTGCCAAAAATACTTAAACTTTGAACAGCTGGACATTTAAAAGTTATGACAAGGTCAAATTAAGCTCACCTGTAAAGCTCTGAGTATTTTAGGTTCATCCTGAAACTTCACCTGAAGCTCAATAGCCATTTTTTTTTTTTTACTGTAGTCTATTTGCTTGCCACTACTTTCGATTCCTCTGATTTGAAATTTCAATTTGCGGTTATAAGTAACTACAATCACAATGACATGCAGAGGAAATTGCGTAATATGATGTGATTATACATTTAAATCATTAAGTCATAAAAACCATCTAAAGGAAACCGTAACTATGATGTGGCCCGTGATGAAAATGAGTTTGACACCCCAGATTTAGTGATTTTGTTTACTTGAGCTCCTTCAGTACTTTTCAGCAAATGAATGCAGGCTCCATGCATTCCTTTGATGAAAGAATCCGCCTTCGTCAATGCAACACCCCACTGCCCCTGAAAGTTGGTCTGTTTTCAAGGTCACTCTAGGTCAAACCGTTGCTGTAAAGTGAGTGGTACGCATTGGGATCTGTTTCTGATGCGCTATTTGTTTCAAAATTGCAATGAGAAGTCACATGAGTAATAATGCTTGATGGCCTGTGCTAGATTGGTTGTTTTTTTTTTTTTTTTTTATATATCTGAATTGGTGGACAAATGAGAAAATAAGTGTATTGTTTGCTTCGCTTTTCTCCTCAAGTTCACTTGTTTTAAAATGAACTCTACGCTATGACACATAAAAGAAAAAGTCATAGCTATGACGGTCAGGTTGTACTACTTGGGTACTAAGTACACACAACAGGGAAATACTTCAGTAACCAAACTTTTACTGCAGGTGATTTCACCACAGGGAGGGGAAGGTTAAAGAGGGGAGGGTGGGGAGGGGGCTTGGTTAATCTTGTACATTTGATCCTCATTGTTCGCCCTGTCACCCTCAACTGATTCAAACAATCATCTCCTTGCTCTCTCCTTTGAAAACATTTGAAACCGTGCTGAATAAAAGACTTCTCTTTCTCTGATAATGTTCAAGCCTTCTTAATGATATTTAGACAGTGACAAGCTATTATTTGACCATTGTAGGTCAACTCAACTGTTTTAAAAGGTATCACTCAACGTGATTGATGTGCACACTTTCACTTCAATTTATGAGCCGCAACTCAATTTATTGAGCTGCGCCATGTTCCCTCTTACGTGCTCCAGTTAAGAGTTGAGCGGCGGCATTTTGAAACACCTGGAGGTGTTTGAGAGAGGACTGGCCTCTTAAATTTAGCTGAAACTGTAAATACAAGGTGGCACAGTGGGTGACAGGAGAGCACGTCCGCCTCACAGTGCAGAGGTACAGGGTTCGATTCCAGCTTGGGCCTTCCTGTGTGGACTTTGCATGTTCTCCCTGTGCCTGCCTAGATTTTCTCCAGGTACTGCGGTTTCCTCCCACATTCCAAAACCATGCGTGGCAGGTTAATGGAACACTCTAAATTGTCGCGAGGTGTGAGTGTGAGCGTGGATGGATGTTCATCTCTGTGTGCCCTGTGATTGGTTGGCAGCCGGCTCAGAGTGTCCCCCGCCTACTGCCCGAAGACAGTTGGGATAGGCTCCAGCACACCCAGCGACCCTTGTGAGGATAAAGCGGATCAGAAAATGGATGGATGGATGAAAATGGATGGATTCCGTTCTAATGATCGATTTCATTTTCAGGTTCAGGGTGTATCATCTTAATCTATCATCAGCATTTTTGCAGCAGCGCTACACAGAGACTGTAAGAGTCACAGAAAGACATGATATAACCCCACCAACAACCCCGACGTGAAACAGTTGAGCATCTGCTTGAAATTTTCAGTCCTCCGGAATGCAAGAGCAAAACAAATTATCTTCCAGAAGAGGACGCTGTTCACTCCTATCTTGACAAACTGTTTGATCTTGTGACGACGGCAATCTAAATTCAGTCAGTAAGATGGGTGTCAAGTATGTGTGTGTGTGTGTGTGTGTTTGTGTTAGCTCATTCCCCAGAAGCTTTCCTGCTGCACTATTTGCAGCGCAGAGCCTCAGTAGATTCATATAACTCTTAGGTCGGATCTCCCGATTTAAGCTCCGACTTAGGCGCAGCTGATCCCTGAGACATAAAGGCACCAGGCTCCATCTCTTACCAGTCAAAAGGGATCAGAAGCACCCAGGTGCGAGATTAGCAATCGCACCCTCTGCCGCACCCACAAAACACACACACTCACACACAACGGATGAAACTTGTATCCCTGGAGACGACATTGGAGGGAGTGTGTTGAGACTGGCCACAAGCAATACGCTCTATTATTCACTTCCCTCACTTATGCACACGGATGGCTCCAGGGTCTTTTTTCTCGACTCGACTGATGCATTGTTGGGGGGGCTGAGACAATAATTTTATAAATGCATCTTTTAGAATATCAAATAAAGTGCTGGAGCTAACGCACCCCCTACCCCCGGTGTAGAGCACCTTAGCTACCTCAACAATAAAAACTCTCTCTCTCTCTCTCTCTCTCTCTCTCTCTCTCTCTCTCTCTCTCTCTCTCTCTCTCGCTGTCTGTCACAAACAAAAACACAACAAAAAACCTCAAACACACCCAAACACCTCTCACATTCACCAAAAGTCTCATACGGGTCAAACTCTCTCTCTCACACCCACACACAAAACTGACATGTAACAAGAACCTTTCAAAAGCATCTCACATCTGTCAACAAAACATACACAACAAAATCTCACAAATACGTCTCACTCAAAACACACACACACACACACACACACACACACACACACACACACACACACACAAACAAACCTCTCAGACTCACTAAAAACCTGTCACACTCAGACACTAACCTCACATACCCATGTACACCCAAAAAAATCTCTCCCATTATCCCCAAAACTCACACAGCACACTGCAAACCTAGAAGTTTACTTGAAAAATACTATAATAAATCAGTTACCTTGAAAAAACAAAGCACAAGAGAGGAAAACAGGTGATTGTGTTGAATTAACTTATTAACTGAATTAACAAATACGATCAAGACACATATTAAAGTATTACAGTAATCCCTCGTTTATCGCGGTTAATGGGGACCAAAACCACCCGCGATAAACGAAAATCCGCGAAGTAGCGTCCAATTAACATAAACGTGTAAAAAGAAAAAATTTTTAAAAAAAAATGTTTTTTTTTTTTCTTTTTTTTTTTTAAGTCCGCAAACGGTCCGTGAGAAGCTGCAAAACAACAGCGAGTCACATAGAGCAACATATACAGTACTGTACTCCATGTACATGTAAAAAAAATATATCTATTTTTTTTTTTATTTTTGAAAAAATCCGTGATGCACTGAACCCGCGATAAACGAGCCGCGAAGTAGCAAGGGATCACTGTATACCAAAACCCTCTCTCACTCACTAAAAACACATCCCATATACGTAAAGTACACACTCACAAAAAACTTCCCATACCAAAAAAAACTCACCAAATAAATCACACACCAAAAAATAAACTTATGCAGACCAAATAAACCTTTCTCACGCACCAAAAACTTCTCATACTTGCCAAAAACCTTTCTCACATATACTTTCTGACACTGTTTTAGTGGGGAGGGGGGGATCATATAGACAAAAACAGTGTTACACAGAAAAGCACGTGTGCTTTGACTCTCAGAACAATAATGATTCCCCTTTTCTCTGTGTAAGAAGGTTTTCATTTTAGTAAGAGCGTTTTTTGGTGAAAAGCTTTTTTTAATGTGTATTTTTTTTTTGTTATCAATCCCAACAATGAATTGTTGCTCTTTTATGTCGTCATGCATTTGGCACTGTATTTTTGACGCTCGCATGAATAAATCCAGTGTTTCCTGTGTGTGACGCATTATTCAATGTCATCTCCAGGAATACACATCCACCTAAAACACACACAGATGTCCATCACATTCCGTTGTTAATGTCATCAAGCCTGTGAACACGTGGAACATGCCAAGTATCTGTCACTCACTCGCTCTCTTCCCTCTGCCTCTCGTTTTAATTCACCACAGCTGAAGGGACACATGGCAGTGATCCCTTGAGAAAGCCCAAGGTTAGACACGGGGCACCGACATAAAAAAAGAGGGGGATCGGTGGTGGGGGTTCGTCTCAATGTTTATTCTGGTTTATTTACTCTGATACAATCAGTCATTCAACACGTGGGATGCCTCGGATGCCGAGTTATCTCCTATCAATGGCCTATCATTGTCACTCAAATAATTTCTGAAATGTTTATGGAGTATAGATTAGATATCTTGAGGAATAGGTCAGTGGCGGTCAGAAAGACTGACCTACATTTACGACCCACGGAACTGTATTCATTTCATAGCGTTTCTCTTGCTGCACTGCTTTCGGTATGTTGTGCATGTGGATGTTATTGTCCCATCCACCTAATCTGACCAGAGCTTTCAGAATCAGTAGTGCTGGACCATGTGACTTGTATCAGTAATGGGAAAACAAAACAATATTTCTGGTGAGTATGATGTGTTTTATTGACCTTTGTGTTTTTGAGACGCCAACCAAAAGTTACTTAATTGGGTACTAGTAGTAGATGGATCTTAACCAGAATATCAAGGATATCAAATAGCGTTTTTCTATTTAATTGGGTTATAGGTCTGCGATAGGCTGGCAACCAGTTCAGGTTGTACCCCGCCGACTGCCCGAAGATTGCCGGGATAGGCTCCAGCACGCCCTGCGACCCTTTTGAGGATAAGCGGATCAGAAAATGGATGCGTAGATGGGTGGTAGTTTTTTTTGTTGTTGTCGTTGTTTGTTTGTTTCGTGTGTATGTGTGTGCGTGTGTGTGTGTGAGAGAGAGAGAGAGAGAGAGAGAGAGAGAGAGAGAGAGAGAGAGAGAGAGAGAGAGAGAGAGAGAGAGAGAGAGAGAGAGAGCTTCTACTTACTAGGCAAACCAACGAGTGGAGATTTTGGTCTGACTAGAGACTACTAGTGCAAAATAAGTGTGTCCTATTTGGCCATAATGAACACTCCAAGTGGAAAATTGTTCAAGACACAGCCCTTAATAAGGCATCTGACTCTTCTACTAGTGCACTAAATTGTCTCATTAGTGGGGACAAAGTGTGTACTAGTATATGGACTTTAAGCGTGATATCAAGGATATTTAATAAATGCACTCCACTTTTACACTGAGTGAGAGGCAGAGTAGAGCTCTCACAGTCAACAGTTGCTACTGTCACTCACTGACATCACACACACACACACACACACACACACACACACACACACACACACACACACACACACACACACACACACACGCACACATGCACACACTCGGGCAGCGGGGTCACACATGCTTCATAAAGGGCGCCGTTACAATGGCTTTTCTGTTTCTCTGAGCGCAGAGCTACGGCACAATAGGCCCAAATGAATGCGCCGGCCTGATGTGGTCTCACTTCTAGCCATTTTTCACCAGATGACAGCAAGGACAACGCAGCCGGATGGGGCAGCATGTTTTCAAAGGACGCCCCTGAAGGTGAGCACCCACATTGCAGGCATCTCCGTATGCTAGTAGTAGAAGTAGTTCCTGTTGTTGTTGTTGTTGAAAATATGATTTGTGAGAGAATGATTGATGGCATGTTTAATTTGAATGAGTGACCTTCTTTCAAAGTCAGGTGGTCATGTGAAAATTAGACAGCTTTAGTTCCAAGGCGTTTTCTGAACTAACAGTAAAGAAGTAGAAATGTGTCCTCACTGGACCAGACAATTCAGCACATTAGTGCAACAACTAGGAAACACTAGTAGAACTGGTTACTAGTGCCATTTTTTTCACCAATTACTGCCACTTTTAGGCTATTAATAAGGCCTTAAGCAATGGATTGCAGTTTCCAACGAGTACACAGATTTGCCTTATTTATAGTGTTCTACTAGTACCCCAAAGATGTCCTCGCACTGAGCACAAAGATCATCTTTATTTATCACAAATATAAAACTGCTGCACTAGTTACTATTAGGCCCAATTATGTGTCACACACTAGTCGCGTAAGTACAGGAACATTTGCCTCATATGTAGTTGTCCTACTAGTATGCAGAAATGTCATACAACAGTGAAAAAAAAACATTAAAAAGTAATAAGTCGGTCATTATACTAGTATGCCAAAGTTGTTTCATCAATTCATTGAATTGTCTTTACAGAGCGCAAGCAGGGACATTCTAGGGAAAAAAATTCAGCCTGGGAATAGTCGTGGATTATTGAAAAAGTCATCATTGACGGTGGTGAGGGTAATACGGCCGTCGTGCATTGAAAAGTTGTCGTTGACGGCCGTAATTCCCCAACTACACCGGCCGCTTGGGAAAATTAACATATTTTCCATCCTGGACTTGGACCTGGTTGAATTATTAGCGCAGCACAGTAGTTTCCTGATAAGGTTTAATTTCATATTAATGAATCCGTGCGCTAGTTAAACATTTTTTTCCACTACTGTTTCCGCGCTCATGACATTACAGTATAAACTTGTACTATAGTTCACATATGGCATGTCACGAGTAGTGCTTGTATCGTGAAGCTGTAAAGTAGTACTCAGTCTTGCATGTGCACATGAACAAAACAATTTCACACACTGACGTTTCAAAGGTGGCAAGGTGGAGCCAAAATAGAGCAAGATGACATTTCTGTACACTCGTAGGACAACTACATCTTACAGCTGTAATGAGGCAAAATTTTGCACTGGTTGAAATCTGCATAACACTAATGCTAAACGTTAAGCAAAAAGATGTTCACTATATGAATCTTATCACATCACTAATTGTACTAGTAGCACACAGTTGTTGCACAGTTTTGCCTAATGTAGTTGTCCTACTAGTGCGCATAAATGTTACTACCAGTGGTGAGAACAGAGAACCTATTAGGACATGGACCTTAATGGAAAGTCGCTTAAACATTTTGGGGGAAAAATATTACTAAAACACATTAATGCCACTAGTGTGCTCTAGTTATTCTACCAGGGCGCTGAATCATCTTACTAGTGAGGAGTTAACGACTATATGGACCTTAAACTGGATATCAACGACATCTAATCCGTTTGAGCATTCATGTGATATTCTTGATATTGAATCAATTCATGATATCAATTGTTCACACGCCTTTTATATCCTTGATACCCATGTACTAGTACACTTCTTATCCTCCCTGGGACAACTTTGGCATACTAATAGGACAATCACATGTTCCTAATGAGGCAAAACTCTGAATTTGTTGACAACTATGTGCTACTAGTTTGATCTAACGATGACTAGCATAGATAGCAGTAGCCAGCTAGTGCTCGGTTTTGCCTAGCTCAGACTGTAGTTATTCTACTAGTATGCTCTTTGAGGACAAAGACCAGTGAGAACAAAGTGTTCTACTAGTATATGGACCTTAAACTGCATATCAAGGATATGGAATAGATTCCCAAGCGGCTTTCCCTACTGAGTCGTACTGGTATGGTGGGCTGTGTGGTATGGGATCGGATTGTCGGGTGACAGATGGATGGGACTCCCCCAATGAGATTGACATGGGTGTGGTGCTGAATGCAGATTCCTCCGAGTAAAGAAAAGCGCTGATATTTGCCCCGCGGGTGTTTATGGTTCAACACCTCCTCATTGGTGGATCTGGTTTGTTTTCGAAGGAAGTTAAAAGTAAAGGCTGACAAATGGCTGGTGAGGCTATGATTCATATTCAGGTCGTTGGTGCTGTTAATGATTAATCGTTTGTTATGTGCCTAAGCAATAAGGAAAGAAAGGTGTTATTTACAAATGGTGCGGCCTGTCTACCTTTTGTCAAAGTTCATTGCTCCTACTACTGAGGAATAGTACTTCACATACTGTACACGACACTAGAATCACTTTAAATCTCTCATTTTCAAGTTCAAGTGAAGGCATTTTCATACATGTGCTCTTCTATTGGATGGAGTAAGACTGTTAAGATGTTCCTAATGTTGTGCCTGGTGAGTGTAACTTTGCACTTAATTGATGTGTTTGTGCATGCCTGCAAGTTACCATGACAGATTGTACCATTACAGTAAATATACTATAATAGACACGTAATGTTCAGGTGTGCCAGGGAAAATGATCACAATTTTCATTTTACTGATTTCTTGTCGATTAATGTAAGTTTGCTCTGCTTTCCATGCCAGTGATATATAGTGACAGGCAGAACAATTAAATGCCTTCCCACTAGATGGCAGAAGTTACATAACGCAAGCTTGTTGTCACCACCTTTTGTGACATTTTTTCTGAGGACAAATATGTGCCTCAAATTAAAATATATGCCTATCATTTGCAGTAGCATTCAATTTTGTAAACCCTGCCCTTGCTGATCGTAATAATAAACATCTCATAATTATTCTCTTTTTTCCAAGTGAAAGTGTTATTGCCCTTAATGATTATTAGCTCTAAAAAAAAGAAAAGAAAATACAATTTGGCTTTTACCTTGTCTTCCTATCTCCTTTTGAGATTTTCTAAAAAAATTAGAATGTATGTGTTCCTATATTTTGTATGCAATAAAAACAGTTTTTTCCTGTACATCATTAAGGGAAAATGTAACCATTTCAAAACTTGATTCGTATATTAGAACCGGTGCCTGGACCCAGTAAAATGCCAAGTGTCACACTGACTATTGCTGATGATACTTGACATAAAGGTGAGCTTTTGAACCAGTGTGTGAACAGCTGCATATATACTTCAATTACTTTCAGTATCACCGGCAGTGGCATTTATACCCTTCACAACCAGTAATCTTTATTCTCTTCATGTGGTCAAATAAATTTGTTCACATAATTGTTCAAATAAACACTGACTGTGATCTTGTTAGGCGTCCAGTTGTTTTTTTCAAATTTTAATCAAATACAATGTAAATAAATAAAGAGGTTGAGTGAAATGGTAAGCTATTTTCGATTGATACACTAATTAAAATTATACATCTTCATTAAAATGCTGTGAACTAAAGTGAGCCAGTTTGAGACATGAAACTGAAAAGGAGTCCTATTCCGGCCAGCTGTTGCAATAGGTGCAGCGACAAAGTATTGAGCAAAGGCTGTGAATACTTCCAAATGCACTGGAAAGCATTTTTTTTTAAAAATAAACTACAAAGTTTAAGTCTCCCTTTATTCTCAGCCAGACTATTGACCAGCACATGTTCAAAGCGAACCTGCAATGTTTTCTTGGTTCACTGTTTGAGAAGAGGCAAGCAAGTTGTGGCAGAAAAACGTGCGACTGTTTCACCATGACAATACACCTGCTAACAATGCCCTAAGCATCTGACAGTTCCTGGCTGAAGCAGCCTCCCTACTCACCAGACCTGGCTCCATGTTATTATTATTATTTTTTCCTGAAGCTCAACAGGGTCACGAAAGCGACCCATTTAGAAGATAGCCATTGCATTAGAATTGCAGGGTGGATTTTCTTCTTTTTGTTTATTTGTTTTTATTTTGGTTCTATATTATTTAGAAAAGCAAATAAATGCATTAGAAGCTAAAGAACACATCTCAACCAGAGGTGCCACTAATTATGGTGTGAAAACTCAACGTGCAGGAAGTCATTTTTTTAACTATTTTAAACTATTTTCGTAGTAGCAGAAAATCTGGACGAAAGATTTTGTCTTCACTTTTTACGAGTATTTACGAGAAAAAAAATTCACCATTACCTTCTTCACACAAATTTGATACATATTTGGTTGTCACTATTCCCCCTGACCTCATCCCAAAGTCTACCTCTTGTTTAAAAATATATACAATAAAAATGAAATGCAGCAAAAATTAAAAGTAAATAACTTGATGAGATGATAGCCTCCATGACTTTTTACCGTCCTAGTGACTTTCTGAAGTAACGTGGCCCGCGACCACAATGAGATCCCTTCTCTAATGCTGTGCGCATGATGGACTTTTTGACAGCGTGCAAGCTTCCTCCCCTTTTTCTAAAGCTTCCTCAATTAGCGTGCACAGCATGTAGATGTTGACGCGTTAGAAGTCTACGGAAGTCAATACAAAAGCAGCCCAGGTGAGGCCGGGAATCACCTCCTCTTCCTCCTCCTCTTGTCTTCCCCCCTCCTCTTTTGCCAGGTAAAAGTGCACGGCGGCGCGTCTCCTCCTCCGCACCACCTTAGTTGGAGAAGCGCACAGAACGAGGCTGCTGGACGCCTTTCACGCGTGTAAATATGATACAAGTTGAAGTCACGTCACGGACTTACTAAATGGGGCTTCTCCTACTGGGCCTGATTCTCCGCTGCTGGATCACCACCGTGGAGGGTGAGCACATACGTGTGTATTCTGTGTGTGTTGTGTAAACAAAAAGCGCATGTGTGATACGAGATAACGACTATCCTTTTGTTTGCTCCCTCGGTCGTATAGCCTGTTTTGTCATTTATTACACCTGGCCTTAGTAAAAGCAACGGTAGAAACGTCAGCGCCGTTTATCGCGGGGATACTTCGAGATGCTCCCGTGATAAGTGAACATCTGCAGTTTCGAGATCCCATCGAAAAAAATTTTTTTTTTATATTTTTATCCCTCTCACATACACCAAAAACACTCACTTTTTATATTAACAAAAACCCAATTTCATTTATTAAAACCAAGGTTATTAATTAATGTCAATAAAAATTAATGAAAAAATAAAATTGAAAAAAATATTCCATTAACAAAATAAAATAAACATGAAAATGCTTTTTTTTTGGTCACTCAATGTCATACATGAGCTATTGGGGTTCATTTTAAATTTATTTATTTTGGTGTTGTACATCCATAACTACTGAAGAACAAAGGCCATTTTTTTTCAGAAGAGGAATTTACTTTTACATGATGCTTAGTGACCTTTTTTATGTTGCACTCAACAAATACGACATGTAAAAAAATTACTTATAATTACAAAACTAATAAACTCTAAACTAAAACATTTTTTTCCTCCAAAAACCAATAAACTAAAAACGAATTAAAACAAAAATCAAAACAAAATACAAATCGCAAACTATTATAACACAATTAAAACACACTTTGTTTTTTAATATCCCTGAAGCATGTTTGTTTCAAGCTGTTTATTTTTCTCTCTCACTTGAAAGTTATTGCAAAACACAAAACAAAATAGAATTCCGCATTGTATATTTAAACCCCCAAACGTTCAATCCAAATTGTCTAAGTACACTAGCTTCATGGTAACAAACAGTATTATGTGAAATGACAAAGATGGATTCACGAAAATTAGCAAAGATGTTGTAGCATAAGCCTTCATACAAGTGCAACTTTAAACACACGCAGCAGCCACACATACAATCATAGCATACAAGAAGGTTGGACTGTAGTTCAAAGCCTTGATTGCTGTTCAGCATAGTGGTAGCGGTGTCTATTAGTCATTTCAGTGCAAGTAGTTACAAGCGAGGGGCTTGGATGATTCAGGTTGTTGAAGAGATTTATAGTGAGGATCCATCGACAGTTTGGTTGTTTGGTGTCAGTCAACCCTGGGTGGTTATTTTTTTGCCGGTTTTGTGCTGCTAACCTTGCAAGGCTAGAATAGCAGCTCGGGAGCCAGCTGTGATTCTGTAAAAACGTACCACAGCCATCCAAAATGACTGACCTTTTAAATGATTAAAAAATAAGACATCTTCAATCAGCACAAATAGCATAACACACCCGCACATGCACGCACAAACACAAACACGTCTACCAAAAAAAAAAGTTATCATTATATCTTATTCTTTATATTGTAAGAAATTGCCAAGGAGTAAATCATAAAGGTGAATATTTGATTCTGTATCTGTGATTTGTGTGTTTTTTGTAGGTTCATGTTCAGGTGATAGCGCTGCGACGTGTGATCTATGTCTCCAACTTGGTCCACATTGTGCCTGGTGTACACAGGAGGTAAGCAGCAGCATCCTCAACCTCAGAACACATTCTAAATCTGTGATTTTTTTTTTCACCATGACATGATGTACATTTTCTTCTTCTCAGAATTTCACCGACTGGTTGTCAGTCAGTGAAAGATGTGACACACCGGAGCACTTGTTGGAAAAAGGATGTGCTGAGAGCCTATTGGAGTTTCCCATTTCTAAGGGAGAAATCCTCCAGAATCAACCACTCGGGAAGAAGAGTGGCAACCTGAACCTCACACAGATCTCCCCACAGAAAATGGCACTCAAACTACGACCTGGTATGCCATTTTCATATTCAGAGACATCTCTTTTTAGGATCTCCATGAAGCACATTGGCTTTATTTTTGAACAGGCAGTCAGGTGACTTTCCAGGTGAAAATCCAACACACTGAAGACTACCCTGTGGACCTCTACTACCTGATGGACTTGTCAGCGTCCATGTTTGATGATCTCAACATGATCAAGGACCTTGGCTCTACCCTGTCCAAGGAGATGGCCAACCTTACCAGTAAATTTCGCATGGGCTTTGGTTCTTTTGTGGAGAAACCAGTTCTGCCCTTCATCAAGATTACAGAAGAGGAGCTCGCCAACCCTTGCAGGTATCACAGAGGCGGCCAATTCTCCTTCTACATCGCCACAATGTTAGTTAAATTGACTTCAATCTGATCTAGGGGACCTGGATGAGCTTAAAGTTGACTTCATATTCTTGAAAGAAGAGCAATAGCCATACCGCAAAAGTAGCGTTTGTAGTGGTTGTTCTAAGAATGCTTCTCAGAGCTTCTCTTTTAGAAAGCATTTCGCATGTACTTCAAGGTGGCAAAAGTCGGAGGCTCCTCAATGGCACTATTGGTAAACAAACCCTGACATGTCATTTGACCAAGGCAGAGCGTTTGAGGAAACGGAGTAAATGACTTAAATGGTTATTTGAGCTGTATTTTGAATGTGTGAAGTGTTAGTGAAAAAGAGGATGTTACGTAAGGTAAATTGTTTGGAAGTGAGATGGAACACATAGACGTGAGAGAAATTCAGACATAATGAATAAGAATGGACCGGCTAATTTACTTTTCTGTTCCTCTGATTAATGGCACATGTGCTCTTTTGATGGTGAAATGGCGAGGCACACTGTCGTTTACAATCATCCATTGTTTTGCTAAATATACATTGCTATAAGAAAATGCCTTCCACCGACTTGATGATGGAGGTTTGGCTCCTAGTCGGTCCCCTGAGAAGTTGCCACTACGCCAACTAGGCAGTCTTGCGAGAATCTCAGCACAGCTATTTACGACATCCACTCGATCCATCTTCTTCATCCACCGGTTCCGTTGGATGAATTTGGATTTTTTAAAGGAAAATGAAAAAAAAATGTGAACTTTCGGTGTATATCTGGCGGCACGAGCCCAATCACAAGTATTTGTCATTGTTTAATTTCAGGTCATAACAGGCGTCAATCACTTTTCTGCCTTTTTTAAAGGAAAATGAAAAAAAAATGTGAACCTTTCGGTGTATATCTGGCGGCACGAGCCCGATCACAAGTATTTGTCATTGTTTCATTTCAGGTCATAACAGGCGTCAATCACTTTTCTGCCACTTGAAAGTATTGTGGTACTTATTGGCACACATGCCAGAATTTGCAACTGTCTCAAAAAAAAAACAACAAACGGGACACGTTTTCAGATTGTTGATTTTTTTTTTTTTTTTTTGCAGATTGAAACCATCAGACTCCACACATGCCAGAATTTGCGACTGTCTCAAAAAAAAAACCAACAAACGGGAGACGTTTTCAGATTGGTGATTTTTTTTATTTTTTTTGCAGATTGAAACCATCAGACTGTGACATATTACTCAACATGTAATATGTACAAACTGAGCTGCATATCTGGAGAACATTTTTGAAATGTTTTGCGGTGCCTTTATTTTTGTTACAGGAGCGCAGACGCGACCTGCTTGCCGACGTTTGGCTACAAACACGTCTTGTCCCTGACGAGCAACACGGGCAAGTTCAACGAGATGGTCTCGATGCAGCACGTGTCTGCAAACATTGACGTTCCAGAGTGCGGCTTCGATGCCGTCATGCAGGCAGCTGTTTGCGGGGTAAGGGCGACATTTCAGCTCAGACAGAAGAAGAGTGAGGTATGAGATGACAAAAGTAAAAGCAAGAGCACCGTTGTTTTCCTGATAGGACAGAATAGGTTGGAGGAATGATTCCATGCGTTTGCTGGTGTTTGTCAGTGATGCTGACTCACACTTTGGGATGGACAGCAAAATGGCCGGCATTGTGATTCCCAACGATGGCCAGTGTCACCTCGACACCAACAATGAATACTCCATGTCCACAGAGCAGGTTCTGACCCCATTCGTTTTCATTTTGCTCACACCGAACTCTCCACGGCAACCAATTACCCCTTCTCTTCATGCTTTGTATTTTTGTCCTTAGGAGTATCCAACTCTGGGCCAGTTGATTGATAAAGTAGTGGAAAACAATATCTTACTGATATTCGCTGTGACGGAAAAGCAGAAGCTGAACTATGAAGTAAGGTCCTCAAAAGATTCACATTATCGTAGTACGGTGAATCACCATTTATTCTGTGGAATATATTCCCGGCATGCCCTAACAAAGGTTCGCTATCTTAAGCAATGCGAACGCAATAGAATGGCCTATTTGTAATTAGCTGCTGCTCTTCACATACTTGGAGCAGCAACACATACAAACAGCATGTGTAAAATGAAAACGATTGCTTTACATATCATGATACAGGAAGAACACAAAAGATGAATGACGATGTAGCGTCCCGGTTCACTGTACTAAAGATGCCAGCCTCGCTATTTGCATGAATGCATCTGCTGCTTTTTCCCACTGTCATAGAACTATGCAAATCTGATACCCGGTGCCACCGTAGGAGTCGTGGCCATGGATTCTCGCAACATCCTTGAACTGATTCTAACGGCATACAAAGTGAGTGTGAAGAAAAAGCTCATGGTTGGAAGAACTTTCCTAGGCGTTTTTCTTAAAATCCCTCTTTCATTCTTTCTCTTATTACGCTTCCTTACACCTCCCGGGAATTTGCGTCAGCATGTTCCACTGCAAGTCTTGTCTTGTCCAAGCTGTTTGATGTGTTTGTGTCTTACTCATTTTTTCTCGGCAACTTGTACTTCCTCGTTGTGCTTTTGTGCGTATCCAGCTCGCAATGGCAAACTTCCCATCATTCAGTGACAGTTCCGTGATTTGTGCACAATTCCAGTCTGTCTGCTAACCTAAGCGTGACCAAGAAGTGGAGACGTTCTTATTGTGGTGGTTAATGTATACACATAAATCTTGGCAAGCAGTTTGAGCTTTTATTCCATGTGCTTCGTATCCTGTTTAAGGTCCATGTACTGACAGGCTCTTCGTTCTCAAGGTGAGGACAATTCAATCCACTAGTAGAATAATTCGGGTGCACTCTTGTAGAATAACTATATATTTTTTTCTCCACCACTGAATGATATTTTTGCACATGAGTAGGATAACTTTGTTATACTAGTCAACTGCATGTTACCGCAAAAAGTTGACATTGGTGTGCTACAAGCACTACTAAAAAAATCTGAAGATTTTAACTTCTAAAATGTATTATGTTTACAAGGGAATGTGATGAGAATTTTATGTTAACACCCCAGAATGTTATACTAGAGCATAGTTTTGCGTCGCTAGTAACATGTAGTTCTACTAGTATGCCAAAGTTGTCCTCTTGTGACGAGTGTATGAATATCAAGGATACTGAATAAATGTTCAAATGGCTTTTTTTAAAGTTTCAAATTCCCATTGTCCTCACTATTAATGTTATTTTTTTCTCACTCCTGCCTTCCACTCTTTTATGAGATTTTGACACTATTAGGACATTTTTTGACATATTAGTAGTAAGACAATTAATTATATTTCCATGTTAGGCAAAACTACTTTTTTGTTGCTCGGGCATTTTGTTGTTAGGTTGAAGCAAAGGAGGCTACTAGTGTATGAACCATGCCTTCTAGTTGGGCCTGGTAGCGTTACTAGTCCAGCATAGTAGTTTACTAGTATGGATTACCTATAGTGGCATTTGTAGTGGAAAAAGCATTACTAGTTTGACACAGTTGTCCTGCGAGTTTGCTGTCATCATTCTACTACAGTGCTGAATTGTTTTACAAGGGAGGACAAAGATCCTACTAGTACACGGACCTTAAACTGGACGGTAAGGATATGGAGTAATTGCTTACATGGCTTTCCATTATAAATTGATTATATATAATCAATGTCGTCGCCTTTGTCTACCTAAGCAACTCAAAAACACTGCGGGCGTACAAATAACTCACAATTAGGCCGTTAAGCACCCAGACGGTGTGTCACAGTGTTCATTTGTCAAACTCGGCCTTTCCTTCTGCTCAGGTGAGGCATCAGTCTTTCCTCAGGTTATTTTTACAGCCCAGCACACCTGGCGTGGTGACTCATCCTTTAGAGGGAATAAAGACAGGAGGCTTTGCACATTACAGGTCACCGCAAAGTAGAATTGACCTTAAAATACCTGGAAAGTCCGCTGAATGATATGATGACAGATTTCCTTGTGGTGATTCTTCCGAGATATTTCTTTGAAAAAGATGTTGTGCTCATGCTGGTTTGCAGGAACTGCGATCAGAGATCGAACTGGAAGTCCTTGGAGACACCGAAGAGCTCCGAATGTCCTTCTCAGCTATTTGTCCAAATGGCACAGTCCTTCCGGGGCTCAAACATTGTTCTAATGTCAAACCTGGAGAGATGGTCAGTTGTGTTCACACTTAATGTATTTCTATCTCTCTCTCTCTCTCTCTCTCTCTCTCTCTCTCTGTCTGTCTGTCTGTCTGTCTGTCTGTCTGTCTGTCTGTCTTTCTGTCTGTCTGTCTGTCTGTCTGTCTTTCTGTCTGTCTGTCTGTCTTTCTGTCGATTTGTTTAGCCAGCTGCCTGTGTCTTTGTTTATATCTTATGTAATTTGGCCAGATTTCGACATTTTCACTGTCTGTCTGTTTGTCTCTATTCTTGTCATCCCTCCATTTTCTCTTCATCTCTGATCATCCTTGGATCCATTTTCTCTATCTCTCTGTCATTCTATCTGCCTATTGCAGGGGTGCCCGAGTCCGTTCCTCAAGAGCCCCAATCTGGCCTGTTTTAGATGTCTTCCTCCTCCAACACACCTGATTCAAAAGATCAGCTGATCATCGAGCTTTGCAGAAGTCTGATTGCAATCCTGATCATTTGAATCAAGTGATTTGAAGGAGGGAGACATCTAAAACGGGATGGATAAGTGCTCTCGGGGACAACCCTAGTCTACTGTAACTATCATCTCCTCCCCGCTCGTCTCTCTTAGGTGGTGTTCAATGTGTCTGTGGAGCTTCCAGGATGCCTGTCTGGAAGCCGACGCTTCTCCTTAAAGCCAGTGGGCCTCCAGGACACTTTGGAAATAGAATTGGAATCTCTGTGCTCCTGCGAGTGTGGGCGGCCTCCCGAAGCCGACAACAGCAGCCGGTGCACGGAGGGCCAGGGGACTTTCCGCTGTGGCGTGTGCGAGTGTCAGCCGGGTTTCTCGGGAGCGGAATGCGAATGCAATGAGGAAAGCGCATTGTTGAGCAACTGCGTGGCAAACAATGAGAGCGATATATGCAGCGGTCAGGGGCAATGCTACTGCGGAGAGTGCGTATGTGACATGTCCAGCTTTGGTCACATCTACGGGCCTTACTGCGAGTGTGACAACTACTCATGTGTTCGCTTCCGTGGCGAGCTCTGTGGAGGTGAGCAATTTCTGTCGAATCATTTTATGGGATTATTCATGTGGTTCTGTGGTGAGCCTTTTCACATTAGCATGTTTGTGTTTTAGGCCACGGGGTGTGTGACTGTGGGGAATGCCACTGCCAAAGTGGCTGGACAGGAGAGTACTGTAACTGCAGCAGCAGCAGTGATGCATGCCTTTCCGAAGAAGGAGTCCTGTGCAGCGGCAGGGGCAAGTGTGAGTGCGGCCACTGTGTCTGCTTGGTATCGGGAGCATCGGGGGACTTGTGTGAGAAGTGCCCCACATGTGGAGATGCCTGTTCCGTTGCAAGGTGAGAGAGAGAGAACATGCTGTGAGAGGTCAATTATTAGGATTTGATGTGTGGCTTTTTCTTTGCTGGCTGTGCCTTTGCAATTCGACATTGATAAACGTGGGCCTTTAAAAAAAAAAAAAAAAAAAAAAAAAAAATCTTCTTTTGTTTTGTTTTTCAGCCGTTTTGACATTTGACAGTAATAAAAAGAAAAGGCTATCGTGTCTTGACATTTGACAGCAATAAAAAAAACAAACAAACCTAAAAGTCATTCTTTCAACTTTAAATTGGATTACTTTTTTTTAAAGATACCCACAATTCACAACAATGAAATTATTTTAAACGCCATTATTTTATGCAGGTGCTGTTCTGGATCAAATTTGACCCTTGTTTAAACTCAAGTGGATTTTATATTTACCAGTGTGGGCTCTATTTTCATAGACAGGTGCATTTGCGCGCTGATAAAAACTGTCACATCTTCATTTTTATGCTAAAGCAAGTCTAGTTTACGGTGTTGGGGAATTTGCCAGACCGCTGTGTGCCTTTCTGGGCTTTTCTGTTACACGCCCCCGGCGCACCTGACAAGTTGGTGACAGAAAATAGACGAGACATTGGAGCAGCTAAAAGCAGAGTGTCACACATAGACACCCAGGGCAGTGTCCACGTGCCCATTTCACAGCGGCCAATTATCCATCATCCGCAAGTGGAGATCTTGCTGCAGTTCCTTATAAATGTACTTGTGCCTGCCGATCTCCTGGATGGACGTCAGCGAGTCCATAACGCCTCCTCCATTTAGACCTTGCGCCTCTCCTGTGTTCTATGTTCATTCCCACAACAGCGCAACCACCCATTTCCATCTACACGCATCTATGAAAATCCCAAAGGGAAATCAAACATAACTCATGCGGACAGTTAGACTGTAGTTTGCACAAGACTTGCGCTGGCCATGAAAATAGGGACTACAAAGTTCATTTCATATACTGTCTGTATATATTTTTGTACTACTAGTGATGATCTTCTTCAGGAAATTTGAAACAGTCCTGAGAACTGCCTGTGGTACCCCCACATTTTCACAGGTTGCCACTGAACATGCACCTGATGCTCTTTGGAAGGTCATGGAGAAATCTCGAAATAGAGCGAGAACCATAATTCCCATGGCTGTTATTTTTTCACATCTTAGGTTAAATCGGACTTCACATTATTTGATAGCGGATATTTTTTATTCAGAATAAGTGGTGTAAAAAACACATTCCCGTTGTTCTTGATTTAGGATTAATAATCCATTTATTATTTTCAGGCTGATCTGCTGTTCATAATTTAATACATTTTATCAGGATATTCTTGGCCCGAGTCAAAAGTGATCTAGTACATACTGAATGTGAATCCATGGGAAAAAAACAGCATGTAAGGGTTAAATGTGTTAGATGTTGTATCCTTATACCACACAATCAGTCTGATCTGTCTTCTGTCCTGAGTAGCATATCAGGTTTTAGTGTCCTTGTTCACATGTCATCATCACCATCACCCTGCAGGTGACATCAAAAGACAACTAATGTCTTCAACACGGCACTGAAGGATTTTCTTTCGCTATTGTAAAGTAGCTGTTGCCTCTGCTGCCATTTGATAGCTCAGTTAAAGGGGATACGGGTGGACTTTGGAAAACGGTATCTTCTACTTCCTTAGACAATTGGAATCTGTGATGGCCTTTGTATTTTATACCAGGACATGTGTGGAGTGCCATCTGCAAGCAAAAGAGAATGCCGAGTTGTGTGAGCTAAACTGCAGTCTCCCCAACATTTACATCAACACAACAGCAGGTACATGACTCAGAAATGATCGTTCTTGAACCACACCAGCATTACACCTCTTATTTTATATTATTTTATAATGGGACACAGTACAGACTTTTTGCCTGTGTGTAATCAAATAGATTGTTCTCTTGAGTGCCTGCTCATATGAAAAGCCATGTGAGCATTGATTTGATATCTTTGATATCCAGCCTAAAGAGTAAGTCAACACAAAAATGTTCTTTAAGGGAATATGTTCTAGTATTCTGATTAGTATTGCGTCTGTGGAATACGAGTTCAGCAGTCAAATCGACCCATTTATGTCCATCTTACGGGGCATCCACTTTTGCCACTTGCCGTCAACTGAAAATGACATCACAGTTGCTGAGGGCTCAGGAAACAACCAATAATGGCTCACCTTCAGAAAACAGGTTAGCCGTGATTGATCATGACCTGTGAGGTCATTTTCAGCCGACAGCAAGTGTTAAAATGGCCACCCTCTGAGATGGATATAAACGGGTGGATTTTGCTGCTTAACTCGGATTCCTCAAACGCACTATGAATCAGAATGCAGTCTTTAGACTCGTGAAGGAACATCGAACATACCTGTATTCTTGTAAAGATTTTTTGGGGGTTGATTTCCCCTTTAAAATCCTGTCCAATTCAACACAGTAGTAGAATGACTAAGGTGCACATGTAGAACAACTGTGTATTACTAGTTTTTTTTTCTGCTACAGTACTGTAATATATTTTTGCATAAAAGAACAATCTTGGCACTCCATTTTAGGGCGAAAACCTCAGGCACATTTTGAATGAACACTTAGGCCTACTATGACACTGTATTGTAATGTTAGTCAAGACGGTGTTACTTGTTACAAAGTATTTTTCTAGAGGGTACTTGGCATAAAAAGTTGAGGAACCACTGTTCTATTAGATCGTGAGCCATGTCCTTTCAGACAGTGTCTGACAATGGTGAACGTATTCTTTACCTTGTTAAACAGGCCTCGCTATTGTGGTGCATGTGAACAACCGATGGAGCGTGGCTTCCATTAAAGAATAGATTATTTTAAACACGCTATACTTGTGCAAGCTGAGAGCGAGATCTCATCATCAAAGAGGATTTTTCAAATGTGAAACACAATAACGCAGACCACACACACACACACACACACACACACACACACACACACACACACACACACACACACACACACACACACACACACACACAGATTGTCGTCTTTGAGACAGAAATCACAATGACAGCACAACAGAGTCGAGCATATCCTTTTACATTCTCGCCTCAGTATTGAGAGGGAAGATGATATACAATTCATTGGTGGGTTCATTATATATGTTCCAATTTCCTTTCAGAAGTAGACAAGAGCGCCTTTAAGCAATGCACGCTGATCTCTGAAAATGAGTGCTGGATCTCGTTTAGTGTGCTCGGAGGGGACACGATGACGGTCTACAATCCTCACATGTACGGTAAGATGGACAACAAAGTAAGCACAGTCGATGGATGGATGGATGAGTATAGATGGTTAACACTATAAACGATGTATTGTATTTATATTAATATGCATGATAGTGATTGTACTCATTGTGGCTGGTGGCCAGAATCTCATATTTTCAAATATGGTTAATTTCAGATTTTTTTTACCAAATGCCCCTACCTCATCTGTTAATTTTACACATTATTAATAAGTTTAAAGTGTTCAAAATAAATTGAGAACAAATCCATTAAAATTCCGCCTCTCCATCATTTCGTGGTAGCCGTGTGGCATTGTGCCGCCTCAAAATTGAAAGTCTGGATGTTTTTTTGACAATAATGAGTGACAATAGTTACATTACATACATTTGAGTAAGCCTGTTTTGTTAAAAAGAGGACCGCCTATAATGCTTCAAGTACAGAAGGAACTGTCACAAAGGCCACAAAGGTTTTTGGCGTGCAGATTCATTTCTGTCCATTGTATTTTTTTTTTGTTTGTTTTTTTACAAGCATTTGGGAAGATGGTGTAACCATTGTCATTTACTTGTGTGACGTATGACAGGGTTTTGTCCAATAATTTTAATCAATGACCGTATAAATGAATGAGTAGGTTTTTTTAACTTATTGAATTTGCCAGCTGGTGTTGTGCTGATGTTGGTCCACAATGCTAAGTGTAGTGTGTAGTAAATGATAGCAATATAAGAGTAATTATCGTACCAATTTGAAAATACACCTGTACATTTAAATGACTCACCCGCGAAACAAGAACGGCAGTCACACCTGCTTTTCTATTGATGGGCCTCCATACTTGCTTTCAGTCATAAGCACAGTATTCTGACTGAATTCATTTTATTGGATTTATTTAGGCGGCCCGGTTGTCGACTGGTTAGCGCGTTGGGCTCACGGTGCAGAGGTGCAGGGTTCCATTCCGGCTCCAGCTTTCCTGTGTGGAGTTTACATGTTCTCCCCGCGCCTGCGTGGGTTTTCTCCGGGTACTCCGGTTTCCTCCCACATTCCAAGAACATGCATGGCAGGCTGATTGAACACACTAAATTGTCCCTCGGTGTGAATGTGAGTGCGGATGGTTTTTCGTCTGTGTGTGCCCTGCGATTGGATGGCAACCGGTTTAGGGTGTCCCCCGCCTACTGCCCGAAGACAGCTGGGATAGGCTCCAGCACCCCCCGTGACCCTTGTGAGAATAAACAGATCAGAAAATGGATGGATGGATTCATTTAGGCAGAAGAAAAAAAATACATGCGCTCTCAAAGTGGAACCTGTTCGACGAAAACAGTGCACATGTGATTTTCAGATTTAAAGCCTGTGCAATATTTTCCAAAATGATTTCTATGGGATTTCACAAGTCTCAGGAAAACTTTATGCTTCGTGATTTACATCCAGCCTCAGATTTCAATGTGTCACACCTCGGTTGCACACACACACCCACAGTTACGCATGGTGGATGGAAGTCCTGACGGAAAAATGCGCGTACCTTGAAGGTGTGCAAGCCATGCATGTAAAAAAAAAAAAGAAAAACAAAAAGACTGACACACAAATGAAAGAATATGATGCTACCTGATTCGTGACCAATAAAAAAAAATGTCTACAATGTTAAATGGGATCATGTGTCCTAGGTTGTCCCCAACCTCCCAACATCCTCATGATCACCCTTGGCGTCTCACTTTCCATTGTGTGCATCGGACTGATCCTGCTGGCTGTTTGGAAAGTGCTGGTGTCAGTTCATGATGGGAAAGAGGTGGCCAGGTTTGAGGCTGAGATGGCAAAGGCAAAGTGGCAGTCGGTAAGATTCCGGAATGGATGTACCACTCATTTTGTATTTTCGCAACATTTTTTTTCCACTTTCAAGGATGCTATCTATAGTTTCTTCAGCATGTCAAGAAAAAGCAAGTACGTACTGTAATGCAAATGTAATATATATTTCCAACGACCGTTTCTGCAACCCTAACTGTCCGCAGCAGAATGATTTATCAAAATATAGAAAAGGAGTTTTGATAGTGTCAAAACAACAGAGATGCCCCACAATGGTGAATAATGCGCCGTGTTCATTTGACCCCAATATGAATGCCGCGTGTTTTTTGTGTTTCTACTTAGGGGACCAACCCACTGTTCAGGAGCTCTACATCTACATTTAAAAATGTTACCTATAAGAACAGAGAGCGGGAGAAGATGATTACAATGAATCACTACTGAGGATGAGCTGGAGGCAATGCCAACCAGCATCTGAGTGCACTTAGTCTTTGTTTGTGTGTTAACGTGTGTGTGTGTGTGTGGGGGGGGGGGGCGGGGGGGGCGTGCGCGCATGTGTTACAACAGGAAAGTGATTTCTCGACATTGTTTGTTTCTTTGTACTATTGCATGAAGCTCTGAATTGGTTCAGAGTTGTAAGACAGGTAACTGACATCTCTGTGAACAGATGTGACTCTGTGTCATACATTTGCTGCTGTTTAACTGCAGTTTGCCTGCAGGTGCAAATGCACACTGACTAACACACTGATCTCGACTGTCTGTTGCCAGAACCTACAAGCTTCAACATGGCAACACACAGCTGGGAGAGAACACTAAAATATTTGAGTGGTCGACTACTGAAAAAGCAACTGTTCTACTCGTTTTCATCCGATGAATGTAAATGTTAAGGTTATGGTTTTAAAATGTTTTTTCTTTTATTGTAAAGTAAGGCTGAGCCTTAAAATGTTCATAATAAAATGGAATGGTGTGGCACAAGTTTTATTCCATCTACTGTACATGACAGTCTCACAAAACACTCGTTTTTGTAAGCATTATAGCATTGTATATTATATATTCATATTTTCATGACTTGACAACACTGAAGAAATGACACTTTAATGTTAAGCAGTTAGTGCGCAGCTTGTGTGGCTGGCTTTCAATTTACTGTTCCCTCAAAATAACTCATAACACACAGCATGTGTCTAAACTGTTGGCAACAAAAGTGAGACCATCCCTCAGTGAAAATGTCCAAAATGTCTTTCTTTATTTTTCTCTCATGTTGTCAGTCTGTCTGTCTGTCTGTCTAACTATTTATCATAAATTCATCCATCAATGCATCCACTCATCTTCTTTGGTTTTCTCCGTCGGACGTGACGTTGCAGCCCACCACTAAAAACTAGTGAGTCCTCTGCTGAACTTTTAGTGCGAGTGAGTGGGGGAAAACGACGACGACCTCCGTACAACGAGTTCCTGACTTCCAGAACTGGCCTCTCGGAATGTTTAGCCATATTGGACCTTGCAAACCGCCGTCGAAATGTTCTCACGGATGTTCCGCTGCGTGGACGTGGTGACGGTTATATGTCTAACTTTATTGTTGGTGAAGATTTGTGCGTGTTCCGCCCAGGAGGAGGAGGACAACGGCGAGATTCTGGAGCAAGATGAGCTCGAGGAGTTTTACAGTAAGTTACATTCCTGGCCCTGGAAAACAAACAAACAAAACAAAAAAACCCCACCTTTGCAGCCATTAGTGTCGTAAATATGTAAATGTGGAGGATAAACTATGTGGCTGACTATAGTACGCAACGGGACGTCGAACGTGAGAAGTGATTGACATCTGATCTGAGGTGGCGAAGTACTCGCACGCTGTACTTGACTAGAAGTACAGATACCTGTGTAAGAATACTCTGGTAAAAGTCGAAGTAGTGATTCAAATCGTTTAAGTAAAAGTACCCAAAGTACTGTAATTTTATGTCATTAGTTCGAGAGATTATTTTTGACACACAAATTAATTTGAAAATACAGTAATCCCTTGTTTATCGCGGAGGTTACGTTCCAAAAAGTACGAGTGATAAGTGAAATCCGTGAAAAAGTGAACATTAATTTTTTTACAGTTATTATACAATACTTAACTATATATACAATGAAATCAAAGACCAAAACCTGTTTTCAGGCCCAATTACAAAAAAACAAACGTTTTCAACAACTAAAATAGTTTTTGGAAATACTGTACTGTCAACACGCAGCGCCGCCGACGCATTCTGATTTAAAGGGTTAAAAGCATTAAAAAAACTGCACTAAAAAAAAATTCGTGAAACAGCAAAGCCGCGGAAAGTGAACCGCGTTAGAGCGAGGGATCACTGTAGTGTAATTACTTTTAATATTTATTCATCAAATGTATATTACATTACAACTTTTCACATATATTTTCATGTATGTATTGTATAGCAAAAGTGCTCGCACGTACTTTGCTTGAGTGAACGACTAAACGTACAAAAAAGACTGGTAAAAGTAGATGTACTGTACTGATTTTACACGTTTACTTAAGTAAAAGTTAAAACGTAGTACTTAGTCAGTTCACAGAATGATATCTTAGTCACGTAAGTTATTTTTAAAGTACTTTAATAAATCTGTTTACTTGTATTGATGTATAATGTATTATTATATTAGAAATTTTCACATGTATATTAATTAGAGGGGGCAAAACACATACTACACACACTCTGACAGCATGTATAAAAAAAAATACCACAGCAAAATCACTGACTCATTTAGCAAAAGTAAAATAGGAAAATGCTTTATTTTAATTATTTCAAGATTAAGTGCTTTAGTTGAATAAGGTGAATTTATAATACTGGATTTTTGTATCATACATTTTTACTGTACACATTTTTGTAATTAGAGGTGGCAAAATAACTCGAGGCACTTGTGTAAACAATACCTTGGTTAAAGTAGAAATATTGACTTTCACTTCAGTAAAAATGTGATGTGCTTTTCTTGAATTACTTCAGATACATTTCTTCTTCATCTTCTTCTTATTATTACATAATGAAAATGATAAAATAAAGACTGAAATGTATTTCGGAACAAAAGTAAAACTTCTCTACACGCAAAATAGTTGATCAACCATCTTCTCTGTAGCAAAGGGTCTTTTTATCCTGGAGAGCAAGCTTCTTCAGCGCTGTGTGACAGTGGAACAATCCAACCTGGTGCTCCGGGACTGTAGTCGTCCCACCCGCCGCATGCTGTGGAAGTGGGTCTCCCACCATCGTCTCTTCAACGCCGGCACCAGTACGTGCCTGGGCCTCAACATGTCTGACCCCGCGCAGCCTCTCGGAACATTCCAGTGCGACATGGACCTTCCCGTACTGTGGTGGCGCTGCAGAGGAAATATGTTGTATGGGACATCCCGGTGGAAGGTGGCTGTTGCTGGGAATTTAGTAGTGGTTAAAAGAAATTCTTATTATGAGTGGAAAAGGTACAACACGCCAAGAGAGGGGCCCTGCTCGAATCCATATGAAGGTAAAACAAACAACAAAAAAATGTCCCAGTGAGCACAAATGAACCTTTTGTCACTTGGTTTATTGCATACTGTGTCTTTGCAGATATCCACACTTTGTTGGGAAATGCACATGGCATGCCCTGTGCGTTGCCCTTTAAATACAACAACAAATGGTACTCGGAGTGCACCACTGAGGGCCGTGAAGATCATCTTCCGTGGTGCTCGACCACCACTAGATATGATGAGGCTGAAAAATGGGGGTTTTGTCCAGTGCATGGTAAATGCTTACACCTGCATGAGAAGCCGTTTGAGCATTATTCTGTATTCTATCCTTGATATCCAGCTGAAGGTCCTTGTATTAAATTTCTCCTTCTTTTAGTACAACAATTTTGTTTTACTAATAATATATTTTTGACAACTGCCTTACAGTACACCATGATTTCTCTGCACACTAGTTGGACAACTTGTGCGTACTAGTTAAGTAGGACTACTATATCTTACCAGTGAGTCAAAATAGTGCATTCGTTGATATGTATGCAACCAGCATTGATACCAAAACACTAGGGGACCTATTTTGGTAGACTGGCACCCATGCGCTCAGCGTAAAAATGGGCGTAACATCATTTTGGTGTCGAATCAAGTCTAGCTTTGTGTGTTTGGGACCGCAACTGCCTACCTTAGTAGAGACCTGACGCGGAGGCATCGATGCACTTTTGCAGCGTGTTAAGCACAGAAACTATCCTGCATAAATGTACCATTTAAAAATACTTCTCCTGGCGCTCCAGATTCCCATTTTTTGCCAATGCCATGGTGAATTGTACATGAAACAAATGATAATAATAATAATAATAATAATAATAATAATAATGATAGTAATGGTAAAGATATATCGCAACAGCTCTGATCGCAAGCTGCAAGTGCAGACTGCTGACCACTAACAACTTCTAGTGATGTAGATCATGCACCATCAGAGATTCAAAGGTGACCTGCACCGTCGACATAGTGTATTTGTGTATTTTTGCTTCAATAGTAACATGTAGTTGTCTTACTGGTACCCCAAAGTTATATCACTAGTACATGGACTTTGAGCTGAATATCAAAGATTTTGAATAAATGCTCATATGGCTTTCCATAAACCCAAACAGTATTTTTAATATAAACTTTGGATAAGCGGTTTGAATAATGGCTTGATGGATGGACTTTCCATGCTAGATTACAGTTGTGAGCATTTCTGGGAGTCGAACCAGGAACTACGTGCATGCTACCAGTTCAACCTGTACACCATCCTCACCTGGAGTCAAGCGATGCTGACATGTCAGGCTCAGGGTGGAAACCTGCTTAGCATCACCAGTTTGGCAGAGCACAGGTACATCAGAGGTATGCAGCTGCTTAAAGATATTGACCGGAATCATCAAATATTATGCTATGTTTTGCATGTTCCATGGATGGGTCAGTCCAGAATTGAAAACGAACTATTTATTTGATAATCTTTTGTTATGTTTTCAAGAAATATAGGTAATAAACCAAAATCTAATTTGATTTATAAGCCATCATCTAATTTGAATAAACCACCTCAACCATCAATGGTACAGTTCCTATAAGGTATATTGAGAATTTGGCGCAACCCTGTTCCAGATAGCCAGACACCTGAAAAACATTTTTATTTATTCCAAAATTATCACTGAATAATTTCCAGTTCTAGAATGACCCAACTCCTCCTTCCATCTTTTCATTCATTTCTAATGCAAACGTTAGACTAATTGTTAATTCATCTGCAACCTACATTTTAACATACCAGTAGATGATTAGAAGGTCAAGATCTTACAATGTTTTTTCTTGTGTTAGATCGGCTGGATAGTGTTGGAGCAATGGTGTGGATTGGGCTGAACCACTTGAAGGATGGTTGGGGGTGGCAGTGGTCAGATGGTGCACCTCTCTCATTGGTTAATTTCACTACAGGTATGATTAATGTGTCTAGATGAAATTGGGTAATGTCTGTTTTTATGGTGGGATTACATGTAATTGTCCAAATGCTGACGAGCAATACTGACAATTTTCGCTTTTGTACTTGGTGCACATTTTTCCACCAGTACAACTTTTGCAACTTAAAACATTCCAAATACAGGGCATGTTCAGAACTATTTTATATAATTTTCCAAATGTGCACAATAAAAAATCCCAAGTGAAGATACATTTGATGCATTTAGTCCCCCTACATCCACATTTCGCAACGCTTCCAGGTTTGACACTCGTCAGGATCTCATTTCAGGAAAACAATTACATTGTAAAAATGTATGAAATAGAATTTTTTTTCATGCTTTATTTAATGCATTATGTGCAATTACTTGTGACCTAAAAATATTTTGTTTGGGATTTTCTAAAATTACTTCACCTTTGACCTTGAATGTGTATAAAACCTCACATATTGTGCACATCATGCACTGTACTGATTTGAGTGGAAATGTAAAATGTGAGACTAATAGTTGGAATGATTTGAA